TTTTTCTCAATCTTTCTTCTACTCTTTTTACCATCTTTAATGAGGCATCGTGTCAATCAACACCAACGTTTCAAAACACCGCGTATATTTGACACTGTTACGCGCCTTTGTTCTGAGAGCGCCGACTCAGGACATATTTGTGGCGGCCTGGCGGGAATGTCATAATAAATCTGTCTTCATTCTTTCTCAATCTTTCTTCTACTCTTTTCACCATCTTTAATAAGCTGAAGAAAAGAAAGAAAATCAATTACAATATCACCGACGCTTGAGAAATAAATAGTGAGAGAAAGACAGCTAGAAGCGAAAACAATTAAATATCGCTGATGTTACCGGAGTTTATGACAAAAATTAAGCCGTCGGAAAGAAATCAAAGTAAGTCCATTATCACCTGCGCTCGAGAAATGCAAAGAGCGACCGATCGCGGGAGAGACAGAAGCGAAACCAATTAAATATCTGTTGATTTCTATCAATTCTTATGGTGCATTCTATATCGAAACTCTTCCGGCACGCAATATCAAGAAGGTAGTTGCTGCCGATCGATCTCGCCTTTGTTTGGATGGCCTATTCATGGAGCATTCCAGAATGCACCCACAATGCGCCAATTAAGTCGTTAAGTACCGCATTCTAGGTACATTCTAGGTACATTCTGGAATGCGGATTAACAGAACAATAGATTCTGAATAGGGCATTCTACATGCATTCCGAATGCCAGTTGAATAAATCCGTGGCGCCTAACAGGTTAGCAAATCTGACGGGCTTTAGTTCCGTAAACAAGGGTATGGTACCTCAAGACTTTCCCTCGGATGATTTGCCTCTGTTGGTATGACTATGAAGATGTGTTTCCATGGAGACTTTAGCATTGTTCTCCTAGGATTTCAGGAGATGGAGATACAATTCAATCTGTTATAGAAAGTCAAGTCACTGAATGTTCATAGGTTTCCTTGATGCCGGCCCTCTTGAATGAATGAATGAATGGAGCGAGAGATTGAGTTACTTTCGAAATGTACATGTATGTTTGTTGAAATGCACATTACAAAGACAAAATTTCAAAATATTTTGCATACTTATATCAGTCCATCTAGACCTGCTGATTCTGTTTCCTACAATTTAAAGGCTTTTGATTAACCGTTCTGGAATTTTTTTATTGAATTCAGAATAGGTGACAAAACGTTTCTTTCCCTTGTCCCAGTTAAATTGTTTTGGTTTATCTAAGACTAATCCCTTAGAGGATATAACTCCCTGGTTTTGAGGCTCTGTTTCCATGGTAACTGAAAAGTCCTTTTGATCATGTGACTGTGAGATGGGCTCAATTGTTCTTGAAGTTGACTCTAAAGCATTGTTGAGTTGGAAAGCACTTTCAATGATGAGGAGAGCATAAGTGCTTGCCATTTGTCTGCCAAACTCAAGTAGTCGTGATGACTGAATGACTAATGTACATTAATAGATGTTTTTTTAATTTACAAATCCAATATATAATGGCCATATAGCGGGTCTGATAATTACCCGATTTAAATTGGTTTCCCGATTATTTATTTTCCCCCATTTTTTTTTTTTTTTTCTTTCCGATTTTATCCCTATTTTCCCCTTATTTTCTGGATTTTTCCCCAATTTGTCTTACTCAAAAGGGGGGAATGTTGTTAGATGCCATCCCCCCCCCCCAAATCCCCCTCTTTTTTACTCAAGGGGGACTGCAGTGAAGACGAAGTTTATTTAAGTTAAATAGTTGTTCCCTCATATTGCTCCAATATTGTACATGTTCATAGTACATCTACAAGATTTGAAGTAGACAGAATTTGTAAACATGTTCAAAAGAAGAACATGTCACTAATCGTTTGAATAATCTTGTTCGAATTGAAAGCCAATTTTGTTAACAAATTGTCGGCATGGGAACACAGAACAAACTTCTTGCCTAGGCATCTCTAAATATTTTTCAATTTCTTTGGCACGTTTTATTATTTGGAGAATTGACATTTTAGATATTTGACATTTTGTGGACCTTACAGGAGAATGTTAAGAGCTTGATGGAAATGATACATTCTGAGACAGACGGAATGCCATGGTAACGTAATACACTGCCATGTGAGAGGATGACCGTAACATGAGAGAAACGGCTGGCTTTTGATGCTCAGGCTTAGACAGAGCACTCAAGTGGGTGCATGCTCAGGGTATATCAACTGTCTTAGCGTGGCGAGTAGAAAGGTAGTTGTAGTGGGGGAGGGGGGGGGGGGACTGCCCCCTCCTACCTTTTGCAGTTGAGAATACAGGATGATGAGTGATATGAAAACAACTGCTGCGCCACTTCCCCCTTCTCTCTCTCTCTGTGACTTTGTCTCTCTCTTTTCCTCACTTCCCTCTTGCTTCTCTTTCTTTCTCTCTCTCTCTCTCTCTCTCTCTCTCTTTCTCTCTCTCTCACTCTCTCTCACTCTCTCTCTCTCTCCATGTCTCTGTCTCTGTCTTTCCCTCTCCATGTCTCTGCACCCACCCTCTGAGTTGGGACTTCTCTCATGTCACTTCAAGTCATCATCTGACACCGTGGTTGCTTCAGTAATTACCCAGCTATCATCACTTATTCCAATGAAACAGTGATTTGGAGATGAGTAAAAGTGTCCAGGAAAACAGATGTGAAAATATCCGTAAAATGTGAATCGGAACAGACAGTGTGAATTGAACAGAAATCAGAATGTTTTGGACATTGTTTTATTCCAGGATTAAGTTGATCCTTGTCATTTCTTTTATTCATTATGATATTTTTTATTTAAAAAATAGCTGTAGAGAAGTTTAAGGTTGAGGGGATATCGGGAGAAGTGTAGGAACTGGAAAGCGGAGTTTATAAGGAGAATCATTCTTGAAGACTGCTAAGGTTTCGGTCACAGTATATCTCTGTCGCACACTCTTTAGCAACCAGGACTCAAGGAGTGTGTCTCAGCGGATGCTTAGGTGGGTTAGTGTTAAATTTCAGGATGCTGTTTGGTTTAGGCTAAGGACAGCTGGTGATCAGGAAAGAGGGTGTTTAGATGAGCAATTAATCATGGAACGTGATTATCCTCCTCTTGAGGGGGCATTGCAGATTTGACGTGTTTAGTTGAAGCGATGTCGTGGGCTAGTGGATAAGTCTCTGGATTGTGAATCACATGGTTAGCGGCTTGGGTCCTGCCTTGTTACTAATTTCCTTTGGCAAGAAAGCCATCTACATTTGCCAAACTCGACCCAGGTGAGGTAAATGGGTACCTGGCAGGAATTAATTTCTTGGTATGCTAGAGTGCCGTAATGGCAGCCATGCTAACGCCAGGATAATAACAATGGAGTTCCAGGAGTGTCTAGTCTGACAGACATAAACAGTTAAACTCTATACAAAGAACCTAATATTATTATCATTATTAATTTAGCAACAAGCCTAATACCTCAGCCACACCACTAAATGACTCCAAACTGACGGATTCTTGCCCCTTCTGTGAAAAATACTTTCTTGTTCAGCTTATTGTTGGCATGGTGTCTGTCTAGGTGTGAATAGGCTATACACTGAGGACATCCTGTAATGTGACTTGTCTCGCCATGAGAAGTGGCATAAAAGCGGTGTCTATGTCATTCACCCCAGAGCAATGGTGTGTTAGATGTAGGTAGATTCACAGGTTAACATTCCTACAGTACATGTATGTTCATATTGTCACAGTCACATAGTATGGGCTATGCCATACATTGTAGGACAAGAGATTCTCATGGTTTGCTTCCTAATGAATCAACGGGTCTATAGCTTTTCTTATTGGCAGAGTTTGATTCTTTCCTATGTGTTTGCACACTAACAGATTTCCGGTATCCCATATCTGCAGTGCCCTTATTATTATGTGAGGCATATAGCCAACATTCTAAATGTGTTTGAAAATATTAAACTTCGCCATACTTCCTACATTATTGTTGCTCAAGCTTGGGTGTATAGAGGGCAGCACATTGAGCCAACAGGTATTACGCTCATGTGCGTACTAGTGTCCCTTTATGCGTACATCAGTACGGGAGCATAATACCTGTTTGTTCAGTCTTCGTCAAGTTGCCTCCTTTACGAATGACTATACACCCAAGCTTGAGCATCTTTAACAAAACAAAAAAGAGTCTTATTATCTATATTTTTGGTGGAATTGTATATTTTTTTTTCTATTTCCTCCTGTTTAAGAAATTTTACATTTTCATGTCCTGCCAGTGGCAAGTATAATGTAAAGTTTGTAGTCATCGGGTGATTGTTTTAACTTGATTTCCCTTCTTCAACCTAAATCATTCAAAATATCAAGAAATATATTACTTTCATTGTTGATAACGTTCCTTATTCAATGATACTTGATCAAGTCTGGACACAAACTGACCAAATACCTTTGAGTTGCCTGAGTGCAGAGGAGAGGAGACAACAGAATGAAAAGTATTGCTTATAATGGTATGGCTGTCCAGTGTAATACTCTGGTCTAATGCATTACGGAAATCGGATGACAGCGCTAACCAGGCCAGGCTGATTCACGTCCAATGATCCCATATTTGATCCCAAAGTGGTATTCAATTACCATTGATGAACTCTTGCTTTTGTGCCAATTACATGTAAATCATGGTATCAAGTGCCTTCTGGCTGAATCCAACTGAAATCTGAACAAAGAAAATGTGTGCAGGGAAACGAAGTGGTTAACAAATATTTTGGACAGATTGATTTAAAAAGTCCATTGCATATGTGTTTTAAACATGTTTTGATATGATTTTAAAAAATGTAATTGTTCAGCATAAGTACGATAATGCACATAATGATTTTTTTCTAAGAATATACATGCAATTGTAATACATAATCGTTTACACCAGGACCATGATTACTTGGTGTTTAAATTGTGTAATAAATCATTCTTACTTATATGCATGTATTAAATAATGTCATTCAAGGTTCGTTTTTTAAAATACTGCCCCAATATGACAATATATGCGGAAATTCCATTAATTAATTTTCTCTCTCTTGTTTACCTTCCTCATTCCAGCCCATTTCAAATGCAGATTTTGTTGTTCCTGTAGAAATTGATGGCACAGTTCATGAGGTGAGCATACATTTCAGTTTGATTTCAACGACATGAAAATATGATAAGAACCCTTTTGGATCAGATACATTGGAAACCAGTCTTGATTTCAGACTCCCTGATGCAGTTGGGATTCTACACGTTGTATATTTGGTTACAAGTACTTTTTGTCGTAGAGGGATCCCAACGTGAAGAATTTCAACCCATTTATACATGTAGATATTTCTGGATTCACTAATCAAGATTATTACAGGAACTTTGGATTATAAGGTACAGGTACAATGTAATTTTACTTCACTTTGTAGTTTCTCCTTTGCTGATTATTTACAATTTGTTTTCATATAATATAGTTTTTATCTGATGATGACATTAAAATATAAATGGAATCAAAAAAGAGAAAATTTGCAGAGCTTTAATGAATCAAATCAGATTAAGAAACAAACAAACAAAACCAACGACAACAACATCCTATTCTTTTAGGGTCTTTGCATGTCAGACTAGTCAAATTTGTTTACCCCTAGAACAGTGGTATAGATATGATATCATTGCATGTAGATAGTCCTAAGTCACTTCAATGGTAAGCAGGATCAAATCAGTTGACGGTACAGAGTAAGCACCATTTTAAATGTTGAACTTCAGGGCAGCGTTTCATGAAACCGTCATTAGTACAAGTCCAACGACATCCCATTGAAATGCGTGTATTAAGTTTAACACACGTTTCAATGGGATGTCCGTGAACTTGTACTTATGACGGTTTCATGAAACGCTGCCCAGGCTGATATCTGAGTAATCATAACCTCTGCTCTTTATATATCATCGCAAAATGAAACCAAAAATCACAATATCCAAAGACGGAAGTTAACCTTTAAATTTCCCATAGCTGTATATATCCCCCTCACATTTTTCACATGCACATTGTAACCTTGCATCATTTCCGGAGTCGGAGAGTATAAAATCCTCTTGATAATAATTGTTGATACAGTGTGCATGATGGTGAAGTCAAACGGGTCTGGAAATGAGAATAGTTTTCAGTGACATTTAAGTGCTCACCAGTACAACAGCTGACATAAGAAATGATGGGTGTGCAACGATACAACATGGGACATGGAGCAATTTACTCATCCATACTGCATGAACTAGGTCATTACACTATAAATGATTATAACATCTAGGGCAACTTCTGCTACAATTGTATCTTATACATGTACAACTGTTAAAGTGAATGTTGATTTCTGTTACGATGACAAATAATTTGTCAGCATTCTTATTTTTTTTATACCAGTTTGGAAGAATATCGTAGTAGAAAATTCCCCTGACTAGGAGGGCTCTTCAAATACCCTCGGTTCTGAAATATGACGAGTAATTTAACCAAACTATCATGTGTAGTCCCATATACATATTTTTATGTGCAGTGTGCATGATTTACAGCAAATTGACTATTACTGATTTACTGGACATAACATTGCAACTCAGTGACCACCTGTTCCTTCTTTATTTTATTTTTCAAGGTATATGTATTAAAAAGGCCGCACGTGGACGAGTTTCTGCAGAAAGTGGGGCAGCTCTATGAATGTGTGTTATTTACAGCTAGTCTTGCAAAGGTACAGTAAAACGTATAATTCAATCATCTAAATGTAGTTTTTGATCAACCCAAGTACTTATTATTAACTTGTGGCCATTCAAAAATGTTATGTTTATCATGTAATCAAATGTTTCAGACTTACGAAATCTTTTACTTGTATTTATCTTTCTCTCTGTAATTTAATTTAGTTGAGTAAAACAATTGAAGGTGATTAAAACCAAATTGGTATCATGATGAAACAGTATACTGTGATACCTAATTACAAAAACTGTACTACCGGTATAAATTGCATGTAATTTAACCTTTTGAATTTGAATATTGTACATTAAATTCAATGTTGACTACATTACCTAACATAGTGAGAGAGAGAGAGAGTAACCAAAAGCATTGATGAATGCTACTAGCGAATGGAACATGAATGTGATACATTTTATCGCAATTAAGAGCTTTGCTAGCAAGCTGTGTACACAAAAGAGTACTCGATGAAATTGCATTCTCTCATGGTACCAAACCTAATGAAAACATGTATCTTGTTGTGGAAGAGGGATTTAGGAGCTATGCTGCTCACAAATCATAAAAGGCTAATGGTATTCAGGAGATTTACTACAGGGAGTAGACATCATTTAAGCTTGTGAGAGAGAGAGAGGGAGCTACCTCCATGACTGATTGGACACTCATTATTGCTTAAATGTCACAATCAGGCAATAAAACTCCATGTCATGATTGCAGTATGACTCTGCTTCACTCAGTCAGCGTAACTTTACATGCATGTACATGCAGTTAGGCACATGGGTGGTTGAATCAGTTTTGGTAATGTCTTTATTTCTCATGTAATTGCATGGTAGTACATTGCCTATTAGTCTGTCTGCATACATTCTTTCATTTGATTTTTGAAAATGGATGATGAAGGAGAAGTGTTTTCAATCAATTTGGTTAACAGGCCTGATAATTACCCAATTTTATCCTGATTTTCCTGATTTTCCTGATTTTTCTCTTATTTTCTATATTCTTCCATATTTTCCCCTATTTTTCCTTATTTTTCCCTATTTTTCCCTATTTTTCCCTATTTTTCCCCTAATTTTCTTACTCAAGAGGGGCTTGGTTGAGGGAAAAAACAAAAATTTATATTTGTTAGTGCTCAGTGCTCACTGTCTCCCCTTGGTTAATGAAAATTATTGAAAGTTTATTGGATAAATTGTTGAGATAGGATAGACGTGTCAGTGAGAGAAAGTGTCATTGGATATAAGGAATATACAAATGCATGTGGGTTAGAATGTTTTTAAAAAATTCAGGAATTATGAGGTGATGATGTGATTGCTTTGCATATAAGAGAACATGTACAGAAAATGAAACTCTGACTATTACAATGTCATTCTTTTTAAAATGTTACCCCCGCTCCTCAATTAGAAAAAATACCTGATTTTAGTGATTAAGAGCCTGATAAGTTAAGTGTTGTCATTTTGTCTATCAGTGACATCAAATATTTTAAGGATTCTGATTTTATTAAGCAGCCGTGGCAACCAATTTTATAAATTGTGATTAACTTCAGAGATACCTTTCACAACGAAACATAAAGCAGCTTACTTCACTTCATCACTTATTTTCTATAAGTTTTCTTACTTCCAAATATGCCAAATGTCTTATCCGGCTCTTGAACAGTAACTGCAACTATTAAATTCTAATTATTTGTTCTTTATCTGTTCATATTGAATCTTTGCCAAATGAATTCCAGGATGCTTATAAGTTTTTGTTGTTGTTACCATTTATTTCTACAGTATGCAGATCCAGTAGCTGATCTGTTAGACAAATGGGGTGTGTTCAGGTGTCGACTGTTTCGGGAATCGTGCGTGTTTCACAGAGGAAACTATATCAAGGTATGAACAAAACTGTACTTACTCATACGGAAGTGTTTTACAAGTTGAAGCACTGATAGAGAAGGGAAAGTACTTCCTTGATGTTATTGAATTTCCCTTCTGTATGAGAGATAAAATCTTCATTAATTATGTGTGCAAAAAAAATATTTGAATGTCTAAGTAGCTGATCTGTAAGACAAATGGGGTGTGTTCAGGTGTCGACTGTTCTGAATTGTGCGTGCTTCACAGAGGAAATTATATCAGGGTGTTAACATGCTTGTACTTTCTCATACTGGCAGCAGGAATATTTTAGGTGTTTAAGCACTGACACAAAAGTGAGAAATCAGGCTCCCTCGAAATATAAGTTTTCTTCAAATTGCCCTTTGATTCAATAAATGGAAGTCTTTCTAATTGCATTTACATTTAGAAGATATAGTGACATATTAGCCCCTCCCCTCACAATAAAATATTTTACTTGATAAGATTAAAGTCTTCCTAATACCTTCTCTCTCACTCTCCGGTACTACCCCCCTCCCCCATATATGTAAAAGAGAATAAAAGCAGATTTATCTTTTTCTCAGCCTTGTTTTCCCCCTCATTTTCTTTTAACACTGCATGCACAGAGCTGCCAACCATTCCGTTTTTTTCCGGAATTACTCCGTTTTTTCCTCTAAATTACGGTATTACGTTTTAATTTTTTTTTTTTTTTTTACATACCGCACGTCAAACAACTGCCCTAAAATGGTGATTTGCTCACAAATTCAATAGAAAACTAAATTTAAAAAAATACTTGAAAAGAAAAATATTCTCAAAAAGAATGAAATGCCGATAATACCAAAATAACCACCAAAAAAAATCCTGCTTGTATGGAAAGAACAGCATGATGAATGAACATTTCTGCATTGGAAGTGTGTCGCGCGTGGTTGTAAGTTTCTTTTTTTTATGAATTCCTTTTTTTTGCCTGAAATTCCTTGTTTGTCATCATGATTACTTTTTTGGGTCGCACAAGGTTGGCAGCTCTGCGTGCAACTTGCAGAGTTGCCAGTGTTTCCCTTTCTTAGTGATTGTAATTTTTGCAGGCATTTGTTATATTTACTGATGGGTATGTCCTGATTGCGTACATATGATTGACCATGAGTAGTATTGCATTGTCTGACTCTAAATGAAAGGCATCAAGGGAACACATTTTAATATGTTTCCTCATGTTGAGATCAATGTGATTGAAATGAAAGTATTAGTCTGTGACAGATGAAGGACATCAACTTTCATACAATTGATACCCTACCTGAAAAAATGAATATTATTATGATGGTGATGAGAATGATGAATAGAAGAATAATAACCTGAGTTTAAATGAAATGAATTGAATAAGCTACAGAAAATACAGATTTTGAAATTGTTGAAAGCCTTTTTCATTACATTGAAACCTCCTCAGTGACCACCTGTTTGTAAATATCATGTTTTGGGGGTGTTTTTGTTATTTTGTTTTACAATGTATGCCTATAAAGGCCACCTTTCTAGTTTCTCTGGAGCAGTCTTTCTATGCAGGTATCACTGTACATGATCAGTTATACCTACAACATGGATGCACTCATTTGTTTCAGTTAATCATGAATGACTACCTGATGATCAATTTCAATATTATAGAGAGATAATTAAATATTTCCTTCCCCCTTTAAACAAAATTACTTTCAGGATCTCAGTCGACTGGGTCGTAAACTGGAACGTATTGTAATTGTGGACAATTCTCCAGCTTCATATATCTTCCACCAAGATAATGCAGTAAGTATTCAGACTCTCATTGTTTTGAAAGGAAACTATACCACCGACCTAGTTTTGTTTTCGACTTCCTTGTGTGACAGGGTGTATAGAAAAAAAAAGAAAGAAAAGGAGATCATCTTATAGAGCATGAGAACTTTTCACACTATGAGAGAAATGTCTAGTTATGGAAAAATCCAACATGACTATAATAGCATGGATATCAAAGCCTTTCCTCAAGAATCTTAGGCTCATAGATGCATTGAAAGAAAAATGTTATCCTTTTTTTTCAGGGGGTTATTCTGTTACTGTTAGAATGCAAGAGATGCACCTGTGTCAGTTCAAAGTTGGCATGTAGTTGCAATGTGTGCAGCAAATAGTGTCTTGTGATCACTAGGACATATACTATACAATAGTTCATCATTAGTGAATTTCTTTTTTCATTGTGTTGTGTAGTTTCCTGTTCTTTCAAGGAAATGTATTAGGTTAGGTCAAAAGGATATTCTGTAGTTTGGCTTAAATATCAACAACACAAAATAGGCAATTTATTTATACATTCTCCACTGATATATCTTGTCTTGAATTTTAATAACTTTCCATTTATGTTGTAAATATGTATTTTTTGAGGGTATCTATCTGTTTGCTGTTTGTCTCTATAGATCCCTGTGAGTTCGTGGTTTGATGATATGTCCGACACGGAGCTCCTGGACGTTCTCCCTCTCCTAGAGCGCATCTCACAAGAGGAAGACGTCTACAAAATACTCAAGAAGGAGAACCACAATCACATAAAGCGCTAGAAGATTGAGCTTGGCTTCAGCGCCCTATATGGAACCTCCGCCCAAATCGACTAGTTCCTCAAAATGATTGATATTGACTGGACGTGCTGATCCTGCAGAAATACCTTATTACCAAACTGCCAAAATGTAGTGTAACCAACGTCACCATCGGGAGATCTATTTTTAATTGTGATTACGTTGTAGCTCCATCTGCGTTGCTGCTATGGTCGACGTAGTCATCCCAAGAGGAATGCTGGTTTGGTTGGTATTGCCAGCATCTTAGTGATCCTGCCATTGCATGTAGTAGTCCTCCAGTCCTACACCCCACCCACCCACCCTCTTCCAGTATCACCCAGCCAAGGAAGCTGTTATCAAGCATTCTCGGTATACTTAGGTGTCTCTTAGTCCTCTGTGCTTTAGCTTGAAAGGAAACTCCATGCAATAATTTATGGCTGTCCTGTACAGGAAGCCAGGTCTGTGATAGCTGTTCAATGAAGGAAATGTTGTTATGATACCAGTGCAGCTATACCAAGGTCAGTCCAGGCATGTGGGTCAAGAACTACCCTTTGCTTTGTAAACTACCAAATCTCTCAAGGCCGGCATATTTCACATATGACGATTACAGAAAAAGAGAGATAAAAAAAATATGCAAACTCTTCTGCATATCTTTCTTAAGCTGGTATTATCCTCACTAATTAAAACCAGATTATTTTCTGTCACAGCACCATCATTGTTTTTTGCACATGGAGAATCACAGCTTACCTAGAGCTTTCATTGTTCTGATCCTTGTACATTGAATCCGTTACCGTAGGTAGGAACAGCCAGCATTAATTGGTATGTCTCTATGGTGCAGATGCACAAAATCATAGACTTTGCACTGTATGTTCACATTGAATAGATAAAGGGAATGAAAGGCAGTATTTGTCAGTGATATGTGACAGATTTATCTGGATGATGCTGTTAAAAATGGACTAATCTCTTGTATATCTGTCTTTGTTTGGTTGACCGATGAAATATCAATCCCTAAAAATACAAGAAAAATCACTGCCATTGTGAACCAATTTTCTGATCCTTTTTTATATATTTCTTAACTTACCGGTAATTCATTCTTCTTTGGTAACAATAAGCCATGCCATGGTATTGTAACAATATACCAAGGAGATTGCATTCTTTGAAGAAGAAAACTTATCAGGTATTTTGTTCATGCAGTATTTTTAAATCAAGATACAATATTTGAAATGATACAGAAACTTTCAATGGTTAGGGTGATCATAACATATAATTCAGGCTGTTACCAACCTTAGAATTTAGTAAGCATGCTTTCATCGATTCCTGTGGACTTTCTCAAGCCATATGATTTTTAACAGCTTCTTGTTTGTTGCCTAGGCAATGATTTTTCACAATGTTTGCTTTAAGAAGGAAACTGGATAAATTTGTCCATTTTGCACAGGAATAAATGGCAAGCTGGAGATAAGGAAAGGTGACTGCAAGAAAAAGAAACAAATATGGGTATGCTCCTGTGTTGAGTTATACCTGTCTCTTCAAAATGCAAATATATTAGTTGAATGTTTGGACAAGAACTCAACGTGTGTTTGGATCAGCTCCCTCCTAGCGACCTCGTTAGTTGAGGCTCGAATATTGCTCATAATGAACCTAAATACAGGTCATGGCAGCAGAACATGTTTGAAATACCCTGCTGTAATTTGATCAAGTATTATTATATCAATGGTAGTTTTCTTCACAAGACAATAGTGAATATGAAAAGATGCTGTTAAACCTCCACTTTGTTTGAAGGTTATAGGCCCTAAATGTGAAACAATTGCTAGATGATGCAATTACAATGCAAAACTGGCACTAACAGATAATCTAGAATGTACTTAATATGTCCTTAATAATAATTTGTCTAGGTGTCCTACAAATTATTATTATCGTCTAAACTATGCTGTGATGTATTAGTCAAAGCTGTCCTGTATTTTAAACCCTTGTCCCCTCAAGCAGCATAGCAGCAGAATGTCTTTGACATATAGTCCAATCTGAGGTCAAGAAACTTTTGAGGGGCTTTTGTATATAAATATTGTATCTGTAATTACACCACGAAAAACACACATTGTATGTTTATCTCATGAAAATTTATAAGCGCATGATCTGGACTGCATGTTGATAAGGATTTATAACAAAAAGAAAAGAAAAAAAAATATTAAAAATGAATGACCAGTTAGGATGTGAATGAATAGAAAACATGTTGGAGAGTGTCGTTTTAAGTCCAATGTATTGATATTTTATCTTTTTTTAAACTTTATTTTCTTCATATATGATGATGTAGGATATATATATAATAGTTCTTGTATATTTATTTTTTTCAAGAGGAGATTGAGGTGTGGATGACACCTTTGTGAAATCATAAATCATTGAAAATTAGCCTCCGGCAGTTTCAAATTGGCTCCTAAGTAGTGTTTTGTAGTGTTAGCTTGATTTTCTTTCAAAGTGGTACAGATGTGCTTAAGGTTTGGTTTCTTGATTGTGCAATTAAAGCAAGTACCTACTGAAAGATATGGGGAAGAAGGACAACGAATCATAGGACAACTTTCTTTTTAAACATAGAAAAAAAGGTGACCAAAGTTGTATGAAGAGCTTAAATTCTACAAAATATTGTTATAAAAGGTCAGGTGACATTGTTACAAAACAATGTTTTGTTAGTTTTTAGAGATGTTTCTTCCTTCCATCACAGTTAAGTCCATTTGTTTGATAGTCAATTAAATGGTTTCTCGCAAACCAGGGATCTTTTTCTCCTCAGAAGTATTTTGCATGGCATACAATGTTCCGCCTGCTGGAGGTCAGTCACCCCAAAGTGATGTATTATTGGTGACACAATTCATGCATGATTCCATGAGAAAAACATTTTCTTACTACCTTATCAACAGTCAAGGTCATGTAATATTTTTGTGTTATAATGTATAGTTGTTGATCACTGAGCATTAGAAAATGGAATAGGTGGAGAGTCAGCATTTGAAAGTAACCTCAATTTCTTCACATACATGTACATGCAGGGCTAACGGATGAGAACTCAACAAGGAAAAAGCTTTTGTAAATTACAGACAAATTTTAAAGTTATTATTGTGCAGAGTGGGGCATGCTAAAGACGTGTTTGTACAGAGTATATACAATTTTGTTGTAGATAGATAAAAAAATTAATGCTCTAATGAGATCATATTTTTATTACTAACTGTTCATTTTTATATAAATTTGAAGAGAAATGAGACGGATGTATAAATGCTGATGTGTGTTGTAATCAGTTGGGATATTACGCCAGCATATCATTCTGTTCACACAATGCTACAGAGTGGCTAGGAAATAATATTCTTTTAAACAAGCACATTGAATCGTAAATCAAAACAGTCAGGATTTTTTAGATGTTTGCCAGAGTTTTTTTAATTTCTTGGACACTCTGTAGAATTTACTGTGAGGAAGTGTATATGTTGGAACGGAACGAATATGCGTTATGTAGATTATGTGAACTGTGTAAACCTCTTCAATCATTCATTGTATATGGCTCTTCATGGAGATCGTGTTATTTTGGAAATCCCCATGGCTCGTGTCCTCAAAATATTTGTCAAATCTTTCTAGATTTCAGGAGATGTTGCATTTTGGTATCATGCAAGATGATCAGATATGTGTATTGTCGTCATGAGGAGTATCAAAGTTTGTGAAATGTAGTGGGTTCAAGTAAGGCAAGGATATTACCCAAGAGTATTATAAATTCTGCTCACTATTATGTCGTGTTTATTTTGTGTTTTTAACAAGAAAACTGTATTATACTGACAAGTAATAAGTGTGTTGTACCAAAGTTATATATAAATATATATATCTATTTTTTCTTTTTTTTTCTTCTTCTTCATAGCAGCTTGAGATCATATCTTTAGCAAGTTGTATATTCTTCGAATGAATTTGTGTTTACATCACAATTCATCCATATTAGATTTATTCTCTTCATTATAACGTTGACAACATGTCACTCCAAAGTTTTGCTTCAGAAATATGATAGAATATAATTTTGATCATGGACCTTTACGATATTAGCTGTCTGTCACTCAGATGGAGATGTAAATGATGCAGCAACAGTTGGTTTCAAGTAAAGTTCCCTCTTTTAATTATTTTAGTTTTTACTGGTAACTTAAGAAAAAGTCATTATGCGTGACATTATATATTAAATCCCTAATCAGTGGATGTAATTTTTTTTAAGAGTTCGATCTACACTGTATTAATGGTAGCCATATATCAGTATCAGGTCAACTGTCTTGATGTGTGGGATCTTTTTGTAAGCTTTTTAAACAGTAGGCTTTCAAATATATTTTAACCTTAAATTGTTGTTTTTTTTCTTCTTCATATCTGCAGTGATTTTGATTTATCTTTTAAAAATAAAAATAAAAAAATCATGAAGAACATTAATGTTACACTTGACCTCGAACAAAACCTATCCAGCATCACCTAGCTTTTGGTGTGCTATTAATTTGGAGCACCGTAAGAGAGTGAATTGCAGTGAGTAATTATTGGTATATATTCCAATCTTACATCAAATGCAGTATATATTTCTACATGAAAGCATGAAACAAGTACATATATACCTCATCTTGTAATTTGCTTTTATTGAAACTTTAATGTGTCTGTATGTAGTTTAATGTCTCTTCTTCTCTCTATCCTAAAATAAGATCCGTGTAAAGATATTTAGAACAAAATGATGAGAAATCGTTGATGATGGATGATGCCTGAGTCAAAAGAAACGGGTTGAGGATAAACTTGGTATCTGATTTTGAATATATTCTTTGAGGTCACAACTTACGGTATTTGTTTCTAATGAGTTTGAAGTAATGGGACTACACAAACTTTGTATGAGTTTGAATTGGCATTAGTTTATTACCAAACAAGAGGTTTTGGTGATTGGCATTTCAACAGTAAACAAATGTTTTCACCTAAGCATTAAAGGGGCTTAGCCCAGGTTTATATTTACATTTCCATTCGGAAATATTAAGAGATTCTTCCAAAATATATTAAGTATTCACAACTTAATGCATTTACAGTATAATAAAGATAGCAATTATTTCATTTTAGCACTGCACCACTTTTTACTTTTTTAAATATTTTTTATGTTTGCCTCTTCATCTTAAAATTCTTCTTTTAGACAAAAGGGATTACAGATGAAGTTGAATTTTCATGATAAATTTTCTGACACACACACCTATTTTCTTCTGAAATAAAATGCACTTTTGATACATGTAACAGTTTAAGCGCATTTACTAAATGGGTTTTTAACTGTTACCTATGCTTTAGTATTTTTGTATCCTTCCTAGAGTCCAAACTTGCACATGTTCATATTATAATGTAAGGATATACACTTGGTTTAGATATATACGAAAACTGTTGATTTGTTATTTCTAAATTGTCAATAGGCTACAAAGTGTCAAGATGACAAGGGGACTTTTGAGATATCCATTAAAAGTCACATAATATACAAAACTGAGTAAGTATTAAAATAAAATCAACAGATTGAAAAATCCTGGGCAAATCAAGAGAAAATAAATCATGATTGAGAAACATAGATCAACAAGTGACATTAATACTGTATTTAGAGTTTGATTTTCCAAATTGTACAAATAGGAAACTTTGTTTGAATATTGTGCACCTGCATAGGACCCCATGCCGTAAGTTTACATTGTAGGTAACTTTACATTGAAAGTTGGGTTTGAAGTCTTTTGTCATAGGATGTCTTTGTTTCAAGAGATGTATCACTATTCAGACATTGCCAGTACATGTGTGTGTGTTCCCAGTTTACCACCTAATCGCTTTTCAAGCAGTGCTTCATAACCGAGTGCATATATGCATTTGTCATTCTCTCACTCCTTAACTTCGCAAAACCTGATGCTAACAATAGCTACTACCTCGGTCACGCCCCCATAACGACTCTAAACCAGTAACTGACAAAATCAAAGCCATTCGGGGCCCGGGGTAATATAATTCTGGTTTTGTCTAGTGTCATCGCGTTTTGGTCTCATTGGCGTAACCGGGGTATTGTAGTCAAGCAATGTCTGAGTTATAGGTTTTTCTAGACATCTAAAGAACTCATAAACAGTATGTATATCTATTTCCCCTTTAAGCAGTTGAATAAACTTTCAACTGTTCAACTTAGTACACAATTTAGTACAAATGTCATGCATCCATTGGTTTGAAGTTCAGTAGTATATTGCAATGCTTCAATTACATCGTGATAAGTGTGTGTGCTTTCATGTTATAGCTTTGACATCAAACTGACATACATATGCATGTTTATTACACTTTCCTTGCTGGGACATATATTGGTTTACGATGTTTTTGGACAATATTATAATTTACTTTCTCAATATTGTGTACAGATATGGAATCATGCTCTCAAAACTATATTCCCTGTTTACAGCATATTAACTTGGCTCCTTGGTATTTGAGACTTCTTTTGATGATTGTTGATAATTTTCTTGGAGTAATACATTTCTTTTTTTCCCCTGTTACACATTATCACAGATGTATATCACTGATATCTGATTTTTAAAGATTTTTTATCATCACATGGAAACTATTTATTGATACTAGGATTATGGCAACCTACCATTTTAAATTCAACTTTCATTTTCTTGATAGGAATGATGGAACAAATTATGTGATGGTTACTGTGATATATTGTGGTTCAAACTGTTTGCAGTAGTCTTATTAAAACTCGAATTCTATCGCCACTATATGTCTATCTTCAGATGCTTCGTTAAGTAGTAGAATCTCCATTGTAAAGTGCACCAAATATGGTGTAGAATCATTGATGCAGGTATTCTCCCGTTGCAAATATTTGTGATGATATAAACTCACACACTCTCTGTGTGTTTTGTTCTGTTGCTTTCTTGTAAATGGTTCCATTTTAATGTGTGAGTGAGAATATCATAGCCATTCAAATAATGAATAACAACCTGTTCTATCTATGTCAGTAGCAACATTGGAGAGATGACATTTTATAAAGTTATTTTATTATTTGTCAGTTGTAGAACAGAGGAGAACTAACAACCCAATATTGTGGTGTTCGTATTGAGGTTTTTACTTTTATTGAACCATGTACACAAAAAAATAAACATTTTATCGAGTGATGAAAATAGGATCCACTCAAGATTTCTTTTAATTATTTTTGTTGTCGTAGTTACTGGGCAATTTCATATCATCTCCTCCCCCGCATATCTCTCTCTCTCCCTCTCTCTCTCTCTATCTCTCTCTTCTCTCTCTCTCTCTCTCTCTCTCTCTCTCTCTCTCTCTCTCTCTCTCTCTCTCCCTCCCTCTCTCTCTCTTCTTCTCTCTCTCTCTCTCTCTCTCTCTTTCTCTTTCTCTTTCTCTCTCTCTCACACACACACACACACTTACAAACACTCATGTATTTTATTTAGCAACAATCGTTTTTAAAATCATTTAAAATTCAGTGATGACTTTAAATACAATGATTGTTTGATTGATGATGATGAAGATAATGCTGTTGATGATATTGTGAAAGAGGATGAGAATGATTTTGAAAAGGAGGATTGGGAGGTGTTGGTAATGGTGAGCATCTTTTGTGTTGTGAATATAAGCAATATTCAAGAACAAGGAGCAAGCAGTGTTATTGTTTTGATGATGGTGGTGGTGTTGGTGTTGTTGATGATGATGATAATGCTATTAATGATATTGTGAAAGAGGATGAGAATGATTTTGAAAAGGAGGATTGGGAGGTGTTGGTAATGGTGAACATCTTTTGTATTGTGAATATGAGCAATATTCAAGAACAAGGAGCAAGCAGTGTTATTGTTTTGATGACGGTGGTGGTGTTGTTGATGATGATGATGATACTGCTATTGATAATGATATTGTGTAAGAGGATGAGAATGATTTTGAAAAGGATGATTGGGAGGTGTTGGTAATGGTGAACATCGTTGTGAATACAATGTATAAGCAATATTCACTGAAGAACAAGAAGCAAACAGTGTTTTTTGTTATGGTGGTGGCAGAGGCGGCGCTCCGGGGGGGGGGGGGGGGGGGGGGGGGGGGGGGGGGGGAGCACGTGTCAAAGTACAAAGGCTAATCTGAGAGGTGAAAATGGGGCGCTTCTTACACCTAAAAAAAGAGGCATGCACCAGGGATGAAAAGGAAATGAGCATTTGTCGACGGAATAGAGGCACCCATCAGATTTTGATAGGAGGCATTAAGGGGCATTTATGAAAAAGGGATAGGTTCTTTATGTGCATACATTGTGTGCGGGTAAGCCTGAATCCTATGACCGGGGTAATAATAAAGCGCTTTGAGATGGCCTTCAGTCCTGAAAAGCGCTATATAAGAACTAGCTATTATTATTATTATTATTATTTATTATAAAGGAAATTGGGCACATATCATTGTTCAAAGGGTAATGAGAAGGGGAAGTGGCTCTTATTAAAAAGAAAAAGAGGCACATGTTAAATTAAACGGGGCACTTATCAAAGACGAAAAGTGGTAATTATGAGAAGGGGAAGGGACACTTTTAAAACTTAATAGGGGCACTTGTCAAAGGGGCACTTGTCAAAGTAAAAGGGGCACTTTTAGGGTACTTGAAAAAGTGCTCCCCTGCCCCCCCCCCCCCCCAGTAGCGCCGCCTCTGATGTCATATTTGTAATGTGTGTTCTGAAAGAAAGATAAATAAAACTTGAAACTTGAAAATTGAAACTTTGAAACCCAGCCAATCAATTATGATCAATCGAAATGCGCGGGCGCGGTAAGATTCACGCATGCGCACTAGTACTTGTTGGAAAAATCCTGGGTGCGTTGCCATTTTTGTGGCCATTTTGGAAAGTTCTTCCGTGTGCTTTTTGCAATTCATTCTAAACATCTTGAGGGTTCTCCGATTGTGTACAAAGGTAAACATTGTCGTGTAATGTATAGTGAAATTCTTAATGTAAAATGTTTTCATCATATTTTGTTTTAGTCTTCATTTTTTGTGGGGCCTTTGAACGGCAACGTAGACTGGACTGTGTATTGCCAATCGTTGCCAAATTACCGAGACATAGATCTCAGATCTAGATCTAATCCTTGGCTTTGCCGGTTTACTCCAGATATTCCCCTAACTCTAAGAAACAAATCATATGATGTCATTATTACATTGTTCACCAATTGAAATAATATGCTGCATGTTGTTGTATGTGCCCAACTAAAATTAATCAATTTGATTAATTAAATTGTCATAGATCTACAAACATCAACAAATTGTGCAGTCCCTACCCCTTCACTTTTGTGTTGGGTGATCAAGCGTCATTGCTCAAACAAGCCACACATGCAAATGCCAGCTGCAAGGCAAGGTAGGTCGTGGTGATTTCCACGACCATGCCCATGCCATGAATAATGTTATTATTTATTAACATTATATTTCTTCAGTACTACCCAAATTACTTGGACGAAGTATCATATCAATTATCTCGATCATCAATGATGTCTAGTCTCTAGAAGTCTAGACTGCAATCATAGAAATTTAGAATTCATATTCATACTTGTCGCAGTAATTTTCAGTGTTTACGTAATACGTGTTTAGATCTACTTAGTAACTTGCAGAGCTCAAGCTACCAAGTGTCTCGCATTAGCATTTCGAGGGTCTAGAAATGCTATGCGCTCGACGCGCGTGTTGGGTATAGAAAAACCGCTATACCTTCTACGTTGTTATACCCTCGCCCGCGCTAGCGCGCCGAATCATGCAAATGTCACGCATTGCTGATCTTTGAACTTGGCGTCTATGAACTTTGTACATTTACAGTAGACTATATCGACTAGTTCTCAGAGTTAGCGACTCCCTGTGAGTTTGCGTTATTTAATACAAAGTGGCAAATCTACGCTTAAGTCTGCATTATATAGGCCTATAATTTGCTAATTCATTGTTTGGAGGTTCTTGACATAGACTATGCCGTCAGCACAAATAGTCTGCCATTTTTCATGTTTTTTGTGTGTGTGAAGTGAGATATAATTCAATGTTTTCAATTGTTACTATTGACGATTTTCCCCCAAGAAGTACTTAAAGAATTAAGTGTCGTTAAATATAGGCCTACAGTCAAACCTCTCGAGAGGTCTATTATATAGCGACCACCCAAGAGAAACACAAACAGTGACCTTTGTAGACAGGTTCCTTTAGTACGTGTTTCAATGTATGCTAGAGCGTCGCAATGGCAGCACAGCTACATGTACAGCCGTGGTAATAATCTCCTATTTTGGAAGTGCTTATAGTGATTTCTAATAAGCGCTATAAAAAAACAGTATTATTATTATAATCAAAAGCCATTTTCAAGGAAAACAAAAAATGTGGTCATTATAGACAGGTGGTCACTAAAGCAGGTTTGACTGTACTACTCCCTAAATATGCAGTGTAGGCTATTCCTTTAATCTAATCCCTTTAATACCATGTGAATACCAGCATTGGAATATCTGTTTTTCTTCCCTCAACAACTCTACATTGCAATTTGGTACATTGTATATATGTCCATTGTACATGTGTAACTGATAATCATTTATCTTCATTTTGTTTCCACTCCTGTAGGTGTTTCAGAATGGAGAGTGCAGAGGATGACAGTAGTCAGGTAGAAGATGCAGTCATGCAACCAGAGCATGTATCCCAGTCGGCACAGGACACCGTAGAGGAATCTGAAACTAGCAACAAGGAGGCTACCCAACCTATTGCTTCTGCAACAACAGGGGCTGATGCTGACAGCAAAGAATCTACGGCTGGTGATGGCGCTGCTACATCTAGCACTGAATTAGATGAAGTTACATCCAGTAAAGCAATGGATGAAGAGACAGATGCTGGTGAAACCAGAAATACCTTAGACGGTGAAATGGAGACACAGGCATCTGGAATAGATGAAACGGTCAGTGATCTCTTTGATGAAGAAACAGAATCTGTGCTGAAAACCATCCAGATCTTTGAATTCTGTGGAGAGGACTTGGTTCAAAAGGATCACATTGAATTCCATGGGCTCGGAGGTGGAGGTTCTGATGAGGACGAAGATCTAGGATCTGGCATAGAAAGTGATGCGACAGATGACTTTGATGAGGACAATCCTTTTCGCTGCAGTTTCTGCAAGAAATCCTTTGGTTATAAGAGTAACCTAGTGCGCCATGAAAAGACTCATTCAGGGGATAAATCGTTTATCTGCATGCATTGTGGTAAGGCCTTTACCTTGCAGTCCTATCTGCAGCAGCATGAGCGTGTCCACCGCAGTAATAAGGACAAACCTTTTATTTGTTATCAGTGTGGCAAATGCTACAGCGATCGTTGGATGCTGAGAAAGCATGAGCAGACGCATGAAGATAATCCAGATGATGGACCTGGTGCATATAAATGCCAGTATTGTGATCGGACTTTTGATCGCATTCGAAATGTAAGGCGACACGAGAGGTCCCATAATGAAGGAGAACAAGATACCAATGCATATGAGTGCCCGGTGTGCCACAAGTTTTTTTCAACAATGAGTAACTTTAAGCGTCATCAGACCACCCATACAGAGGAGAAACCCTACACCTGCATGCACTGTAACAAATCATTTGCCTTACTTCACTATTTGAAGCAGCACTTCAAGACTCATGTTGATGAAAAAGATAAGCCTAGGCACATGTGCTCATATTGTGGAAAGGTCTTCAGTGAGAATTGGTACCTGCGCAAACATGAGTTGACACATACTGATGACCCAGAGTTCAAGTGCAAGTCCTGCAACAAGGTGTTCTCTTGCATCAGCAACTTCAAACGTCATGCTCGAGTTCATTCTGGGGAAAAACCATTCGTTTGTCAGTACTGTGGACGTGCCTTCTCTGAGAGTGGGACACTCCGTCGTCATGAGCGTACCCACACTGGTAATAAGCCATTCGTCTGTACTTACTGTGGACGTACTTTCACAGTTAGTCATGCCATGAAACGCCACGAGCGCACACACTTCGATGACAAGCCCTTTCGATGTAATATTTGTGACCGTACATACACTGACAACAGTGCCCTTCTTCGTCACGAGCGCACACATGCGGATGACAAGAGGGAGACTCTTATTGCCACTACAACGCTTGAAGATGCCGGTGACTTGATGCCGGTCACTCAAGTGGTTCGGATCGTCCAGATGTCCAGTAGTCAGGATGTCCAGGAGATGGCTGCAGCAGCGGCTCAAGAGAGTCATGGTCAAGTCGTCTCTCAATCCTCTGAAGGTGCAGAGTATCAGGTTATTGAGCAGGTCTACCAAGCATCCAGCAGTGGTATTGCACCCATCTCAGTACAAACTGTTTATGATTCAGCAGGACTAACAAACTACTTGACTTCCCAGTGATCTGTTAGTATCACATACTGTATATGTGCATGTAGTTCCATGAACAACTCTATCTATTTTTGTACAAAAATGTTTTATTCTGAAGTTGTAAAGCGTTGTTGTAGACAGGACACATCATACATTAGTGGGTTAAAGTTAAACTTTACATTTATTGCTGTATATATTTCTATGAATTGTTTATTTATATTCATCTGCACTGTCGGCCAGTACCTACACAATGTACATGTATGTGTTATAATAGAAAGAGATTACGGTACATCTTTCTCAATGGATTCCTGATTTGGGGCTTGTATATACGGTAATATAGTAGTGAGAAGAAAAAAATGCCAAAGTCCAAAGATTGAAAAGAATGTTATTGATTAACACATACATGTATGTTACCCATAATGTTATAAATGAATATCTTAAAAATAGTTCAGAAATCAAAATGTACTGTATGTTTGTAAGAGACTAGAAATTTTTATGTCACACATATTCAAATAGATGATAGTTTTCCCATATTAATTCAGTGACAATTTTTTTCCATTCAAGATGCCCATCTAGTATTCTTTATTTCAAACATTCATACTAACGTCGCTTCTGATATTTGAATGCCTGTTCAGAAAAATGCGTTTATTTGGTTAACTCTGCATATTAACTTGAAGTCACACGAGTTCAGTTCCTCTTAGTGGAATGTTTTTTTGTAGTAATAACTGGTTTGACTTACAAATGTAGAGTTAAATGTATGACTTGTTTGATAAGGAAAGAAGAATGCTAGAAACATAAGTTGGTGCAGTTTTATTTTTTCTTCTTAAATTTTCACCTTTTAGAAAACTAGGGATTAAGTCTGCAAATTCACCACTGACATTGTTAGTGTTTTCTTCCATATATGCATGTACACATGAAGCCTCTGACAAAAAAGTAATTTAAAGTGAATGTACAGTACAGTGTAGTGAATAATAGTGATTATAAAAAAAAGTTTTGCCCAAACTTTTCCTTAGAGCTTCAATTTTGTGTAGCATTAGTCTGCTTTCTTAAGCTACACGTCATGCTACCGCAATAGTAACCGCATACATAAAAAAGGGCAAAATACTTTTCGCCATTGATATTTTGATGATGTAATTACTTGCTTATAAATTAAACAATGTATTTGGTCTGAATTTGAATTGAAATACGAAGTGTTGGTCTCTACAGTTGTATCAAATTTGTAAAGTTTGTTGAGGTCATGTTATAGAGGAAGGGGAGGAGAGAAGAAAAGAGAGGAGGGGAGGAAGAGAGATGGACAGGAGAAGATTTTTTTTTTTTTTTTTTGGGGGGGGGGGATGTTGTGGATGGGGCTTCTTGCATTCATTTTCTCCATGTTCCTCACTTAAATTCATTTCATTATCAATTTTGAGGGTTTTCATCTTTTTTTTGGGGGGGGGGGGGGTGGGGGGGGGGGGGGAGGGGGGTTGCTTCAGCCCCCGAAATCCCTGTCTAGAACTGCTACTGACAATGTAGAGGGAGCGTGTGTGTATGTGGGGTTGGGGGGGGGGGGGGGGGGGTGAGAGGGGCATGTTTGCCCACAGCATTCCAACCAACTATGACCAGAATAAATTACTATTGTTAGTCTTTAAATCCCTTAAAGGGCAAGTCCACTAAAAAAAAAAACTTACCTTCAATAGAAGCAGAAAAATCATACGAACCGATCAAAAAAAATTGAGCAAAATCGGATAATAAGAAAGTTATGAAATTTTAATGACATGAAAAACTTTGAAAACTACAAGACAAATTGGCAACTCGCTCAAAGTCTGTGACGTCATTGCCTCACTATCCACTAATTGTTTTCTTTCAGGGGGCGGCCGCCCCCCCCCCCCCACCCGTCATTTTGAAAAAAGGGAAGGAGAAAGAGGAAAAGGAGAAGGAAAAGAAGGAGAAGAAGCGAAAAGGAAGGCCATGAGAAAGAGAACTTAAAGTTAAAATGTAAATTATGACGAAGGGAGGGCGGGGGATAGGTGAAAAAATAAAAATAGATAAGAGAAAATTAAGAAAAAGAGAGAAAAAGCAAACCAAATCAGGCGATCAGATTTTAGACGAGTCATTATTACATTTACACTTCCGGAGGTTTAAACATTGGTTTACGATGAAAAACCTTTCACCAACTGAAAAAAATATCAAAATAACCTGGCGCCGCCCTTGTTTTCTTTATATTGATAATATATATTTTCCCATTTTCCCCCTAAGAAACTTATTTCGTCATACCAGCATCCAAACTCTGTACATCCACATGAAACATATTACCGGTACTATCAATTTAAATTGATAGTACCGGTAATATGTTTCATGTGGATGTACTAATATAGAGTGATTATTTCCATGAAAACACCCGAAAACTTTGGGAAAATGGGCTTCTGTTTAGTGCTATTTTTGTAACAAATATGACTCATGCTTAGGGGGGGGGGGGATGCCACAAGATTATTAGATTATATTGGGTACCAAATCAAGCTTTCCAGTGCAGTCGAAGCTGGAAAACGCTGATACTCTGAATTGGGGGCAATCATGTGGGTATCAATGAACTCGTATACGCCCACCAGTGACTTCTACCCCTGGCCGTCGCCTTTTCCGCCTCCCTCGTTGGCTGTCAGCAAGTAAGTAGGGGGAAATCCCATTGCGTTAATATTTTGTTGGAGATTGTTAAAATAAAATCGGTGACTATCCAGGGGGTATTTTGACTTTCTGAGACTACATTCACAGATTCTCTGATACTAGGCAATTTCGAACGTTTTTCAATTACCCTAAATTAGATGTCATTATAGTCATGTCATTATATTTGGGATCTTCAAAAGGGAAGGTATAGTTTTTAATCTCGTACCCGCCCCCCCCCCCCCCGCAAAAGGGGTTATAAAATATATCATAGATAGGGGGTTACATTGAGCAGTGTTCCGGATCTTGGGGGGGGGGGGGGTCTCCAAGACAGGAAAAGCCCGCAAAAGGGGGGTTCAGAATTGTTGGCAGTCGTGAGATAGAGGGAACAAGCATACACGCGTACCCTATAACACTGAATGGGGGGGGGGGGGGGGGCGGCGGGCGGGAAACGAACCTTCTCGACCCTGGTGCACGATCGATGGAAGTATAAATGACTTGATAAAGCGGTCCATTGGGGGACACCTTATAAGTAGTTATTTCGGGGACATCAATATGAGATTCCAAAGTGAATCTTATACTGAGTCATATTAGATTATTACTTCAAGATTGAAATCAAATCGATTCAATCAAATCTAACATTCTGAATTTAATTATATAGTTGATAAAAACAATTTCAGGTGCTTTGGTAAATAAATCTTGACTGTCTTCTGAAAATGCCATTAGGTAATCTTCTTTGTTTGTTTCTTGCCAGATATTTGTTTTCACTGTGCACTTTTCGTTCTTTTTATGATTGATCCGTCCCTGTGACCCCTATCCTAGCCACATATGCATTTTAGGGACGGGGCAAGATTGTCAGAATGGGCAAAATATCCTGGACCTTTAGCCCCCCCCCCCCCCCCCCACACATGGCCACATGAAATTAGTTTCACACGAACAGCTTAGTGTTAAGGGAGGGAATCAGAAGCTATCTGCATAGGCAACAGAGACATGCATTGCAGGGATTTGCACGGTAAAATTCTAAAAACTTTTAAGACGGGTCAGTATATTCATTTGAATTTTGCAACTGACAGTTTATTCACACCGATTTTGCTTCAATTTTCACTCATATGTAGAGAGAACAACATTTTCTTTTGATCTGAAATGTTGCATATATATATATATATATATATATATATGTGTGTGTGTATATAGCCTACTCTCATAAACTCAACTTGCTGCTACAGATAAATTTTGAGATGGTTTTTGAAGGGGGTTGTAAATCCTGATAGGGGCCGGTCTTTATAAGTCAGTGCTATATAAATGTGATAAGCTACATTTAACAACTGAATTATTCATGCTCCTTGTAAATTTGTGTGTATTTCGTAATTCAAAAATGAAAGGGGAACAGGTTAAATTATAGGCTCTTAATTGCTGCATAATATACTCATTCTCTAGAAACATAAATTGGAAAATATTTTTTCACATAGATAAAAAGTTACAAAACTTGGTAAGGGCCCATACATTATTATTATTATTATCATGATGATATGATATATTACCCAGGCAGTGCCTTTTGCCGGGGGGGGGGGGGGGCTCCGACATAATGATGCACGCTTGCCCTTTTCGCCCCGTGCAAGTAAGAGCCGAAGTGCATTAATTGTGACAATTAATGTGTGAGCATGGATATATCATTCTATGGTATTATTTTTCAGACAAGCGGTTTCCTTGTGTATTTCCAGTTAAATCATTGAAGAAAACAAATTGATTAAATAACATGAATGAACTATGATGCAAGAATGATGCAATCCCCGACCTGTCCTTAAGGTCAAGTTCAAGCTGAATCCTTACCTCCCAGAGGCCACGCCCCTTTTTACACCAATCTCAAGACAACCCCGCTAACTTGACCACAATGCTTTTATTATGACAATTTTTGTTTTAGTGTTTTATTTGTTATTATGACAATAAATGCCAGCTCACTCGGCTAGCTATGGTTCATCCCAGGTTCATCAGGGACTCCCTGGGTTCACATAATACTGTGCATGAGTGCATAACAACAACAATAACATGTGCACAGCGCATGTGAAAGGTCGTGATCTCGGGGTACAACCGCTTGGAAGAGCCTAGAGACACAGACAGAGAGAGTCGAGAGAGAGGGAGATCTGTCCACGTGTAAATTGAGGAGACGAGAGGCAGACCTACTTCTCCATCACATTTGCAGGAATAGACATGATAGTTTAAATCGTAAGTATTATATAGACAATAGTTTTATGATTTTTCTATGAACCTGAATTATGATAAAGGCGGTAGCGTAGCGATACGTACCCGGCGTACTACTTGTAAGTTTGTATGTCACCTTCTAGGCCAGCGCTCGACAAGGCCGGGGATTGCATCGGGCGCTACATGCATGTTGAGAAGGCACAACAACAGCCGCCAGCTGGCAGACGTATCCACTCTTCTGCTTATTGTCTGTTAATTCATTCATTGTTACGCACGTTAGGCTTACAAAAGCAGCATAGGCCTAGGCTAGGTGATAAAATGAAACCATGCACTTAATTGGCCTTAATCTATGATTGGCAACCAACCATTCTCATGATCCTGGCGTGAAGAGTGATGTAAACAAAATCATTTGTAATTGCACCCATTCTAGCTAGTACCTGCTGAAACCATGAAATATACCTTTGGAGTTCGATAGTGGATTCTCCCTTCTCATTGATATGGGTCAAGAATTGATCAAAAATGTGGGACTTTGTTACTGGACTCTGAAGTGATATATGCGATAATGTGATGATGATGATGATCTAGTCTACCAACCTAAAAATTTAGTAGGCAAGCTTTTTGTGGACTTATTCTCACAGTTTCTTGCTGTCTGGAGCAAAGATACGTAGTTAGGTGACAATGAATAGCTAGAGCCCCTATTCAGTGAAGGTTTTATCCATTTTATCCAGATGAATTCTTTCACCTTTCTTGACCAGAATGATAGAAGTGTGTTTAAAACTAAATAATAATGGGCGTCATCCCTTTGATTGAATGTTGTGCAATAAGGGCATGTTTCTGCTACTGCTGACTAAGATGGAATGCTCATTCTGGGGGGGGGGGGGGGGGGGTTGCTTTTCAAAAAGACCACAAAATAAACTTCAGATTAACTCTAAATAAAATGATTGCCTTTAGAAGTAATTTTTATTACCAAAAAAAGAGTGAAGCGTCCTCCCCCCCCCCATTCGATTTAGACACTTCATATTTTTATAAATAAACATACTTTAAAAGCCGTCAGTATAAGATGGCAAAAAAATCTAGAATGTGGTAAAAAATAACTTGATCAATTAATTTATTAACCAGGTGGAATGTTGAATCTATAGGACCTTACCTATGGAAACAGTTGCCCCAAGACTTTCCTAGTATTCCAAATGTACCGTCCATTGCTTTTAGAATGCCCTATATTCTATAAACTCATCTTTTAAAATTGCTTTCCCGTAAATCTACTTGTTTTTCCACCTTGTCTCTGACTTTTGTGTTTTTCATGTATTGATACTTTTCCCTGCAGCACCTGCGCCTTGACTACATCATTCATGAAGAGTTGATGCACTTTGAATACTCTGTATTATTTTTGTTATCATTATTAGGTTGAACTGGGAGATCATCAATAATTTGAGTTGCCCTAGCAGAGTGCTTTCTTCCTTTGTGTAGGATGGCTCATCTTACAGCAGTATCTGGATTTCTGAAGAAAACTTGGTCCCTCCCTCGCTACCTTGCTAACAAGTCCAGGTTCCTCTCGACAAGTTCTAGTCTTCAGAAAGAGAAACAGAAGGTACTGCAACATATGAAATAAAGAGCCTATTTTCATTGATATTGATGATTTTTAAAGAGTTTTCCAAGTAACTTGTTTGTTCTGTGTAGTATAATAAATAGTTGTTAAAAATGCTATGCAGATTGCCCCTATTAAATCGTTACAGTTATGCGTTTTGTAAAACTTGGCACCATACTTTATCATAAAAAAAAGGATTTGAAACTTAACGATACACTTGAGTTTGAAAGATGACATTGTCATTGCTTGACAGAAAAGGTTATATAACATGTACTTTCTTTAAATAAATCAAACAAAGTGCCTACTTTCAGTTTTTACTTTACCAAACAAATATGTTAAAATAGTGTAGAAAAATTAGGTTTGAGATATTCTTTGGTTTATCTTTTAATGAGTTACTTGTAAAAGATGAAGTATTAACATGTGTAGCAGTGTGTTCAGTTGTCTTTTACAATCAAAAATTGTATAAAGAATCATGCAATGTTTATGTTACAAAACTGGACATTAAAAAAAATATACACCAAGTATTACAAAAATAAAATGAAAATGAAAATGAAGTGCCTATCCACCCAGACAGTCAACTTACAATGTTCATTATTTTTGCAGCCTACTTCGGCTCATCTGATTCTCCAAGATGGTACTACGTTCACCGGCTATTCCTTCGGTCATCATAAATCAGTGGCTGGAGAGCTGGTCTTCAACACAGGCCTCGTAGGGTAAGAAACGTCAGCTCCAGATATCCTTAGGCCATGTAAAAAAAAATTGTTTAGCGTCTCCTTTTAAATTTTTTTTTTTTTTTAATTTTAAAGAAAAAAAAACCCATGAAAAACACTGCTAAAAAGTATCTATTTCTAATTTAAACAAAAAACAAAAAAACCTGGCGGCCATCTTGAAAAATAGCCCGACTGCCAGGGAAAATGTACTGAGCGGCCATTTTGAGCGGCCATTTTGAAAAGAAAAAAAAAGGGCCTCCTCCTTCCTATTTTTCAAAAAGGCAGGACGCTAAACATGTTTTTAAATTTTTATTTGGCCTTAGCCATTTCTCCTGTCATGGAACATGGGCTCAATTTCCTAATCCCTATTTACCATTCTCGGCATCAGCATGCATGTTAATCAAAGGTTATACACCGGGATTTCCTCATAATTCTGTTTAGTGTAAGCTGTCATAGCAAAACACTTCAGATCTGTGGTTAAAATTCCTACATGTAGTAGCATTGGCGTTTCATTTATGATCCTTTAGATTGTTAATTTCAGAAATGCATTTACATGTATTTGAAATGATGAACAAATGATGTAGATAGATATTTTCAATAATTACAATAGTGGATTCTTGTTTAGCATTCAAATCGACATGCCCTGATGCTTCTTACATTTGTTTCCCAATATCATAACTCTGGTTTTAGTTAAATGGCCAAATATATAGCACTATACATGTGTGTAGCATACCACATACCCATTTACAACTTGGCAGTGAGTGGCAAATGTAGGAAGGAATTCCTTAAAATGCCTTGAGCGTCGAAATCGGCAGCCTAGCATAGCTGGGTAATGTTGGAGCGCCTTGAGGACCTTGCAAGGTCGATACGTGCGCTATATAAGAATCCAATATTATTATTATCCAGGCCTTAAATTTCAATATTTTTAGGGCAAGGCCACTTTTCTGTAGGGCACATTCCTATATTACAGCACAAATAGGATGAATTGGAAAGGGCACAAAAAATCTCCAAGGCCAATGAGAGGGGCATTGAGGCCAATCAAAGGGGCATCCACGACCATGGCCTTGGTGGCCTTGGATTAATTTAAGCCCTGATTATCATTATTACCATGGTTTTTAGTGTCAGGCTGGGCTTTGAATACTCGTCCTTTTAATTTAAAGTGAAATATTTGAACTATCTAACTATTGACACCTGCACAGGAAGATTTATTTTCCCATGCATATAGTGGTAAATAATGTTTATTTATAAATATGCCTGAAGACAGTTAAATTGTGTAACTTACGCAAATGAAACAAGCCATAACCAAACAAAAGAAACAATATCATATTTGACTATTATTTTTTCATCGCCAAAATGTATCCATGTTTGTATCATATTTTTGTTCTTTGTAAACTTTGAGCCTTTATTTTATATGTGAGCGAAAATGTCTATGTTGAAAGTACATTGGACAACAAATACATTGCATTGAATTTATTTGTTGTATTTCACAGGTACCCAGAGTCACTGACCGACCCAAGCTACAGAGGTCAAATCCTGACGTTGACCTATCCCATTGTTGGTAACTATGGAGTACCAGACACCAAGGCTAGGATGAAAATGGTCTCATGAAGCATGTAGAATCAGAAAAGATTCAGGTAAATAAAGTATTTAGTCGAGGTTGTTGACACTAATACCCCAATGCTGCGTTTCAAATAAAAGTTGCTATGAATGTGTTGTTATGTAAAGGACGGCCCTACAATTTTATATTAAGAAGGAAACAATAAGCTGAAATAATTGTACGTACTGCAAATATGTGTCAAAAGGGGATAATGTAATGCAAGAATTCAACCAATAGATCATTCTCTTCTGTATGAAAAGAGAGATGTTGCCATTTTGATCATTCTTGTTTTCATGGACAGTCTTCTTTGTAGATGGGTTACCTCTTTAGTTTGGTGTAGCAACTAGTTGGTACATTTATAGATTTAAAAAAGAAATGGAGTAACTTTGAAGGAGATGTGAGCTTTCTAAAGACTTTGTACGAAGTATCAAGATATTTTGACTGAATTCCTGTCTTTTTCCTTGGTACAGGCTACAGGCATGTTAGTCCAGGACTACTCTTACCACTACAGCCACTGGAACTCTGTCAAGTCTCTCTCGGAATGGCTCACAGAGGAAGAAGTACCAGCCCTCTATGGGATTGATACCAGGATGCTGACAAAGAAAGTCAGGGATAAGGTATGACCAGGGACCCATTTCACAAAGCCTTTTTACGATGACAAATGACAAAAATCAGTGACAAATTTGCTGATAACCAATCTGAAGCAAGGATTTCAGTAGCTTATAACGAACACTGTCATTTGCCACGGATGACAAGTTTTGTGAAACGCCCTCCAGGGTTCTCAATTATTCACAACATACTTGGTGAGCATGTGGGAATGTAGATATCAAGGATAATTCAAGGTGCTACCTAACTTATCTGGAAAGGGGTTCGGATTGAACTGTTTAGAGTATGTATGTTCAAGATCAAGGTAAAAATCTCAAAATGTTAGGGTTCAAGACTTGTCCTGGGTGCTTGTTGGTGTTGAGCCCTCGGTAAATTCTTCTTGACAAGGATACATACAAGGGTACATACAAGGGTAATGAATATTGTAGTGTGTACTGTCAACCTGCCAAAGTGTTCTGTTTCATCCAAACCATTCCTTCTGGTTTACTGCAAGGAAAGTTCCTTCAGTTTGTATCAAGGATAAACAATATGTGGTATGATAGGGTGTATGATATATAGACTATGTAAGTTGATTAAAACAAGAAATACTGTCCATTTTGGCCCAACAGATGAAACGGTTAGAAACAATACCAGACCTTTTAAATATTCTGTAGTTCTATACCAAGTTAGGAGCTGAAATGCAGAACTGGAGAAGAACACATTTTAATGTGTGATGTAGCCCTATATCACTAAGTTAGAATTAAAGTAAAAGTCTGCCTTGAGGTATCTGTGGAAATAGAATTAAGCAGTGCGTACATTATCATTGAGTATTATAAACAAGTTGGGACGATGGTTTCAGCTAAATATGTTCCTTGTACAGTGAAACCTGTCTTTAACGACCACCCAAGGGAGACAACAAAAGTGGTCTTTATAGGCAGGTGGTCTTTATGTACAGGTACCTATAGTACAATGAAAAACCATTTTCAAGGGAAAAATAAAAATTTGGTTTTTGTAGACAGGTTTGGTCACTACAACAGGTTTGACTGTATTTCATGTTTCTCTCTCAGGGTACAATCCTATGCAAGATAGAGTTTGATGGTGATCCTATAGAGTTTGATAACCCCAATGAAAGGAACCTGATGGCAGAGGTCTCTACTAAGGAGGTGAAGATCTTTGGCAAGGGGAATCCCCATAAGATTGTCACCGTGGATTGCGGTATCAAGCACAACATCATACGCAGTCTGGTCAAGGTATGTCGCCATCACAGTAAGATGTCATGTTTTCTCATGAAAGATCAGTGTGGTTCAGTATGTCAGCTTTCCATGGAGTTTAAATTGTGACATTTTGAAACCTTGACATTCTTCTACCTACTGCAAGGCTCCTCAAAAATCCCTCTTCTTAGGAATCCGCAAGGAGATTTTTAATGTTTGTATGTGATGAGCCTAGTGTTGAAATTTAAAAAATGTTTTGGTCCGAATATATTCTGGCCACCCATGTGTCCCTGTGCCTGTTCACGCTTGTCTACTGCTAAGACTTGTATTGCCATCAAGTCAAACTGATCAAGTTAAGCTTTTTTTTTTTTTTAAAGACATTGCTGAGGTTCTCATAGCAAAGAGGTAGACAGCATGTTTGTACAAAGGACCAAAAATCTTGATATTTGAAGTTTAGGTCCCTGTCCAGTATTCATTAGGTCTTGCTTATTTAATAAAGATTTTGATTTCATTTGAGTACTCATAGACCATATTGTGGAAACATTTCCATCTCTGTTTCCAGCAGCTTGCTATTCTATGCAATTTTACCCATGTTTATGTAAATCATCCTTGTATGTGTTAAAACTCACATGTGCACTGTTGAGATAGATCATGAATTCTGTCATTGTCAACACTCAAAAGCTGATTGGTGTATTCCCTATTCGTACAGAGAGGAGCTGAAGTACATCTAGTACCATGGGATTATGACTACAATCAGATTGAATATGATGGTCTATTTATATCTAATGGACCCGGTGATCCAGCCCTGGCTACTGCTGCTATAGATAACCTCAAACAGGTAAGTAACTGGTTACAATTTAATGTATTAGTAATAGTGCTAAGACATCTGGGGAGGTGTTTCACAAAGATCCTAAGTCAAACTTAACTCTAAGTTGGACTTAAACATTATGGAGAGCCATTTGTAGCCTTGAAATAAAATATACTCAAAAGCGGAAATTCAAGTATTATAGACTTATTTTTTTATAAATTCCACATCAAGAACATGAATTCTCCTTAATAATAGATAGTATGAATGATTTTAATCAACATTTTATGCCGTTTAAAATAACTTTTACAAGAAAATTTTATAGATGCAAACTGCTTTCCATTATTTTATAGTCCAACTTAGAGGTATGTTCAACTTACCGGTAGGATCTTTGTGAAACACCTCCGTTTAAGTGCGGTACATAGATGTTTTTCAAGTTGTTTGATATACATGTAACTCTTTCTTATTTAGGGTCTCTATCTATGTAGTACATTTAAATTGAGCCCTGTCTTATTTAACTGTGTCAATTATGTTGTTGTGAGCCTTTATCTCTTAACCTTGGTGAAAAACTGTCATGCCAGTGAACAATACATACAACAATACTGTAGCCACTTCTTTAATCCTACTTTTCATCATCTCTTGGACAGGTTTTGAAAAATGTACTGTGCAAAGAATTTTTTGTTGTTGCATTTCCTTTGAAAATTCTCAGTTTTAGGAGATTGCTTATTAACTTGTCAAGTAGCACTTGCAAAACCTATTTAAAACCATATTGTGATGTGATCATGATTGAGAGATATACATTACCAAAAGTTTCTTGTATTTGATATTGTTATATCATGGCTTATCACTCTTTTCAGGTATTGGCTGAGGAGAATCCAAACCCCCTGTTTGGTATCTGTATGGGAAATCAACTGACTGGTTTAGCTGCTGGTGCCCCTTCCTACAAGCTACCTCTCGGTAACAGGTATGATCACAAAACTTACCCTTAGGCATAACCCTAACCCTAAACCCACCCCTAGCAGAAGGATCTTTTTCTCAAAGGTATAGTTTCGGAAACGCTCCCCTCTCCAAAAAATGAAATGGAAGCTCTCATTACCAATCATGTGAAAGAATATGTTTTGACTAATATGTGATGATACAAATTTTGCTGGGAAACCGCCTTCTAATTGATATATTTGGTAAGATATCGTGTAGTCCCATATACATCTGTCTGTGTACAGTGCTTGTAACTTTACCAAGACTGGGCCAAATTTCTTATCATTTTGATGATTCCAGAACCTTGCAGTACACACACCAATACTTATATGCTAGATGATCAATGTTTTGGGGTCGATTCCACGTTTCTGTCACAATGCATGACCAGAACCGGTCTATACCTTTAAAAGCAATTTGTGAGGTTTGCACTTCATGTGTTTGTTTATTAGACACTGAACACTAACATTCGAAATGATTGACATCTTTTGTCAGATGTGATGTTCAAACTAACAGTTTGTGAGATCTGAAAGGATTCTGAATGTGTCCTCATGGTTCCCACTCTATTCATGTAGACGGCTTTTTAAACTAGCAGAGTTGTTTTGAATTCTTTGTTTCACAGGGGCCATAACCAACCAGTAATCAACATCTTGACTGGTCAAGCATTCATCACATCTCAGAACCATGGCTTTGCTATAGACAGTGAGAAGTTACCCCCAGATTGGACACCAATCTTCATCAACGCCAATGATCAAACTAATGAGGTAAGAAACTAATTTACACTTCGAACTTCGAAGTGATCCAATCTCTTTTTATTGATTTTATTTTACAGAACAACAATCAAATTTGACAGATAGTAATAGCTAAGAAAATTATAATTGCAAAATAAATATGGGTGAGTTGTCATTTTTATTTCTTCATAATTCGAACATTTTACTAGTTCAAAAAATCTACAGTATATGAAGAGGTATATTATGTGATATTCAATTCATCAAAGTTTTTTTTCCAAGCCAAGTGAAAATGTTGTTTATCCATGCTTGGTATGAATCACAGCAATTCAGATTGGCCGAAAAGTTCTTCTGACATACATGTAGCTGTTCATTTTAGGAAATAACTAATGCGTCAGACACTGCTTTTCTTATTTCAGTGACTTGTGTATGAATTTGAATCAAATCTATTTGGATTCTTTTGGAATGTGTTCTGTAAATTATTCTTTTGCGCTTGTATGTTTTCAGGGTATCATGCATAAGACAAAGCCAATCTTCACAGCACAGTTTCATCCTGAACATAAAGGAGGTCCGACAGACACAGAGGTAAGGATTCACTTACATCTCCTTACATTTCTTCACAGATATACAGTCAAACCTGGGAAAAACAATTAGTGGACATTGTAAACAGATTGGCGTTGTAGGCAATTTAGATTTAGAATAATTGATTGCAAGCGCACTGCCTCTCGCAGACACGCCAGTACGTGAACAATTCTCTGTGGTTTTATAAGGGCTCAGTCGAGTGAAAAATAGGCAGCAAGCCCATGTATAAATCTAACCATGCAACTTTATTTGTTGTTGTTTAAAAATGAAATAAACAAAAATTTGTACGGTTTTTAGTCAAAATAAAAAATACGAAATCATTTAACATATTTTTATTTCTTTGAAATTGTACGGCATTTAAAAAAAAACATATCAAAAGTTGTTTTAAACAAATAAAAAGAACGAGCTTCAACAGCGAGCCATCGATCGTAAAGTTCATGACAATGACGCTGTTTTGTTATGTTTTCAATAGGCGCAGCCAATCATGAAATGTGCAAGAAACCATAACCAATTAAATGTTTTTCATTAAAAACTTGGGGTTGAATAGTTTTTTTGTGTGGAAAAGACCATTAGAACTAGCTTCATAGGCTGTTCAAGCGCTGCTGTTGCTGGTCACTTCATGGTTGTTTTTGGTCGTTGCTGGTGGTCGCTGTGTGGGCATTTTCAGTGGCCAGCGAAAGCAAAATGAGTGGCCGCTGGGTGGTCGTTGTGGACAGGTTCTTAACTACATGAAATCTCACGGGGGAATTTAAGTGGTTGTCATGGACAAGTGGTCGCTAAGACAGGTTTGACTGTAGCGTGCAAATAAATTGATTAAAAAAAATACTTTATGGGGTCATATTATTCTGTATATTACAATAATGTTACATTTCATTGATATGCCTAATAATGAGGATACTAGAATGGAATGTCATTGTGAAATTTGAGTCAATGTTTTTATTTTAAAAAAGAGATGGAGTAATTTGTTTTTATTTAAAAAAAAGATGGATACATGTGTTTTGAAGCTGTCATTTGTGGGTTTGTGATGCTTATTTTCTGAAAACGTACACTCATGCATTTAAAAAAACAAGTTTTGAAAGTGTGGAAGTTAATGTCATCTCCATTAAAGAATATCTTAAGTCAATGTTATGTTAATTTTCAAAATATATAATCAATTTGCTTTCAAAAAGTGCATTCGCATCTGAGCTTTTCTCTTTTTTTTTCCCCCTCGCAGTTTCTATTTGACAATTTCATGGACATGGTTAGGAGTGGTAAGACCATGAAAGATCTAACTTCTAACTTGACCACATCGAGCAAGAGAGCTGAGAGGACTGAGGTCAAGAAGGTACTGATGCTAGGGTCTGGAGGATTGTCCATCGGTCAAGCGGGAGAGTTTGATTACTCTGGCTCTCAGGCTATCAAGGCTCTCAAGGTTGGTAGTACTGGGGAGAGTTCCACAAAGATCCTAAGTTGAACTTATCTCTAAGTTGGACTTAACAATTATGGAAAGCCGTTGGCATCTATGAAAATATTTTGTAAAAGTTATTTTAAAAGGCAAGAAATGTTGATTCAAATCATTCATATTTTTATTTATCAAGGAGATTTCATGTTCTTGATGTGGAATTTATAAAAAGTTGAAATACTTGAATTTTCGCTTTTGAATATATTTTATATTAAGGCAACAAATGGCTCTCCATAATTTTTAAGTCCAATTTTGAGTTAAGTTTGACTCAGGATCTTTTTGAAACACCCCCTTGTGCTTTTTCTTGTAGTGATCGAATCTACATGAATTCAGATGAAGTGCTGAAGAGGACCCACCTTGATTGTAGTGTTGTCCAAGGAATGCTTGTCCTAGTCATTCCTGTTGCGTCTCATCATAATGGGCCCAGTCATGAGTAATTTATTCTAAACAAGTCATTCTTTAGGTGTAGCTGGAAAGGAGATTGATAACAACTTGCAAGAAATCACATCCATTGAAAAGCACAATTTACATTTGGAAACTGGAAACAGGTTCTTCAGATGTTTTTTGGATACCAGCTTGATTTTCATAGCTGTTGCTCATTACTCATCTATTGAATATTTTTGACTAACTGGATTTGGCAGAAATTATGGACATTGACTGTAAGTTTCATTTGATTTTAAGAGAATGTTATTTTCTCATCATAATCTGAGGTCAAGATGACTTTTTATTGATTTTCCTCATTTTTATCTGTGTAGGAGGAGAAGGTCAAGACTATCCTGATGAACCCTAACATAGCGTCTGTGCAGACCAATGAGTACGGTGAGAAGCAGGCCGACAGTGTCTACTTTGTACCCATCACTCCAGAGTTTGTCACCGATGTCATCAAGAGGGAGAAACCTGATGGGATCCTGCTCTCCATGGGAGGCCAGACAGCTCTCAACTGTGGGGTGGAGCTCTACAAGAGAGGGATCCTGCAGGAGTATGGAGTACGGGTAAGATGTGGATCCATATGATAACATAAAACAAGGAATTGGGTTAGGTAGGTTACTGATCCTGCTCTCCATGGGAGGCCAGACAGCTCTCAACTGTGGGGTGGAGCTCTACAAGAGGGGGATCCTGCAGGAGTATGGAGTACGGGTAAGATGTGGATCCATATGATAACAGGATATAACAAGGTATTGGGTTAGGTAGGTTACTGATCCTGCTCTCCATGGGAGGGCAGACGGCTCTCAACTGTTGGGTGGAGCTCTACAAGCGAGGGAACCTGCACGAGCATGGAGTACAGGAGTAATGTGGATCCATATAACGGAATAAAGGAGCAGTGATTAACTTTGGCTGTTGCATAATATTGCCTTATCCAGCTGTCGAATAATTGAATGAACCCCTTGTATCAAAAATTACAAATTTTATAATTTTCTTAAATCAGAACAGAAGTTTAACTTATTATCGTAATAGTGGTTACCAAGAAATTTTTATGAAGTCATTAATGATTTGTGCGATGAATTCTATGCTGATCTGTTGATATTTAAAATGTATCTCTTTGTTTTGTGATGAAATAAGCAAAAGTGTCTAGTTAGGAAAATAAAACACTTAATAGTCAAGATCCTGTAGACCTTTTCAGACCATTGTCCTTGTAATATCTAATTGTTTTGTTTCCCTTTGTTTTCTTGGTATCAGGTGTTAGGTACACCCATTGAATCCATCATGGCTACAGAGGATAGACAGACATTCAATGATAAACTGATGGAGATCAATGAGAAGATCGCTCCAAGTGCAGCAGTGGAAACAGTAAGTATAGTACTATTTGTATGTATTGAGAGTATGTACTGTTTTATAGGACCCTTCAAGATTCAGTGTTTGTGCCATGTTCACTGCTATTGCTTTTGTACCAAGAGATGGCCCTTGTTTTATTTGTTCAAGTTATTTGTTAATTATTTTTTTTGTAGATGTTTTGTCTGCATGTTGTACATTTCTACACAACAGTCGTATAATGTTCATGGAAAGATTGCTAAAAATGAGTTTCTTCTGGTAAGCCAGTAATAAAATCACTTGATTACGCAAGATTAGTTTCTCAACTATTCAATGAAAAGCTTTAGAAACTTAAGTCAATTGAGTGATGTTTCCCAAGGTGTAATCCTATCTGTACACCTCAGGGGATTAATCCACTACACGGATTAGATTAGGTAGGATTAGTAACATAATCTTGCCCGATCCATGCACAATGTGATGTACAGAGATGATTACCCCTTAACAAGCACCTCTAGATTGGCCAAAGATTCAGAAACTTTCCTGTTTAGAACAGAGAAGCCAGGTAGAGTATTACTCTTTGGAACTTGAGATGCTGTATTTCTTCACAATTTGTCATTTTAGTATTTGAATAATCTGAAAGATAAAATAGCATTTAATATGTATTTTTTGAGTAGAAATTTTAACTTAAGTCATTAAATGATCACAGTGGTAGGCTTGACTGGAATCAAATTGTGCTGTGTCCATCAAGAAACCGAAGCAAGTTCATAAATATCCATAAAGACTAGGCCTGATAAAGACAACACCCATTTTATTCAATATCATCAATCATGACATTATGTTTTCCAAACAAATTTGTAGCCAGCTATTTTGAATAGTAATCATCTTTATTGTAGGTATCTGATGCCATTGATGCTGCCAGAAAGATTGGCTATCCTGTGATGGTGAGGGCAGCGTACGCCCTCGGAGGCCTTGGGTCAGGGGTCGCAGAGGATGAGGAAGCTCTGAGGGCGATTGCTACAAGGGTAGGACAATCTCTTTACATCTCTACTACCTTACTTACTATTGTCTTATATATGTAGGTTTTCTCTTTTAAACAATGTCTATCTGTCTGATTTCAAATTGGGCAACGTAGATATAATACCATGAACATATGCATTATGTGTAATTTTAAAATGGTACGGTGCTAACACGTACAAGGTTACAGGCACATTTGTTTATTTAATTTTTCTTTTTGCACAGATATCATTCTTTTTTAGTTGATTAAGCTGATACACAATCCAGCCTTTTCTGGGCTAACTTGTATTTAATACCATATAAAAAACCAGCAGTATCTGAGTAAACTTTTCTTACATTCAAATTCTAGACAATTTCATATGTCTTTTACTCAGCTCGAAGCATTTTTAGATTGGGAGTGAGGAGCAAATGCCTTGTGATAAATAGATATCAATGTATGATTACATGTTAAGAAATTTTGTCTTGTCCTCGTGTGTATAGGGTCTAGCCTTGTCCAACCAGCTATTGATAGAGCAGTCTCTACTAGGATGGAAAGAGGTAGAGTATGAGGTCGTCAGAGATGCTTCAGATAACTGTGTCACTGTATGCAACATGGAGAACTTTGATCCACTTGGAGTTCACACAGGTGAGTAACAAAAGGAAGTAAGTCGCAGAGAATTCTGATGCATTGAAGTTCATATTTGGGAGTTACAAAAGGGAACATGTCGTAGGTGAAACAATGTCTATGAGTCTTTGGAACCTTCCCAGAACTCAACATTACTACCTTTTAATGAATTCAGAATAATGATAATTTCCATTTATTTTCTGTGCACACTGTGGGTGGTGTTCCGATAGCGCGTACTAAGTCCACACTTTTATGAAGTGCCTGTTGTCAACTCATTTACCCTGTACAGATTATTTTAATCCTTCAATGAAAAGTGTCCAAAGAATTAATTTTGCAATGAAATGGGAAGAAAAAGACAATATGAGTATGAACCGATTTTCAATAAAGTCTTTGGTAGATTATCTTTGTCATGAATATTGAAGGAGGAAGATGAAACATAGCATTCCATAGAAGTGTGAACTAAAATTCTTATTTAGTCTGGACTTAGTCCCAGCTTAACTTCTGAGAATACCACCCATTGACGTTGTAAATTGTCTGTGTCTGACCAAGAGAACATTGGCCCCGTTGTATCCACAGGGGATTCGATAGTTGTTGCTCCGAGCCAGACTCTATCCAACCAGGAGTACCATATGCTGAGAGAAACAGCCATCAAGTGCGTCCGCCATCTTGGTATCATAGGGGAGTGTAACATCCAGTATGCTCTCAATCCTACGTCCCTGGAGTACTGCATCATCGAGGTGAATGCTAGGCTGTCGAGGAGCTCTGCTCTGGCTTCTAAAGCTACAGGGTAAGGACTCCATCCAAGTATTGAGGATTGTCATATATATATTTAGTTGTATATACTGTAGCAACAGTAGCAACGTTTTTTTAATTGTAACATTGTACACAAATCTTATTTATAGGATTTGGAAACCCATCAGGTATTTTTCAATTAACTTTATTTTATGCTTTAGATAACGACGGTCAAACTCGACTAGCACTTGTGCTATTTTTTACTCTATTTTACCATCGATCACAAGCTCATTGTACATAGTAATTTATTGTTTTACTCTTGACACTAAATTTACTTTATGTTTTTATAATGTACATGTATATCGCTGTGGATCATGTATTTTTATAATTCATGTCATGCATTTATGTTATATTGACATTGTCATTGGTCATTTATATATATCTTTTGTTTCAATATTTTCAATGGTGGTGAATAAATAAATTCAATTCAATTCAATTCAATTCATATATCATCTGCCGAGAGCCACAAGAATGTTAGCTCATTCTATTTTATATGGAAGTAAGTACCGTTTGGCTTTCACCAGAGCTGTAGCATCCTTGTTTTCTCGTCTTCTGTTTTTCTTGTTTCCACAATAGCCAGCATCATATCCCCTCAATTTAAATTGTAATTTCCCTTCGCTTTCTCTCCTATCTTTAACTCATGATCTCTACACTTTTAATATTTAGTGTAAGAAAATTATTAAGACACATTTATGTTGTCTCTCTTTCTCCATACTGCATGAGAGCATATTAGCATAATTTTGAAAACAGATCTTGTGTTTATATAGTGCATTACATTGTACATTTCAGTGCATTTGAATAGTGTGATTGTTGTGTTTGATTGTTACAGCTACCCGTTGGCCTTCATCGCCGCCAAACTTGCCCTGGGGATCAGCCTTCCTGACATCAAGAACAGCACTACCCAGGCCACCACAGCCTGCTTTGAACCTAGTCTGGACTACATCGTCACCAAGATCCCTCGGTGGGACCTGGACCGCTTCCATGGGACCTCCAATCAGATTGGCAGCGCCATGAAGAGTGTGGGAGAGGTCCGTCATTTCTCTTGTACTTGAATGTTAGAGGCTGTCAACAAAAATCCATGTTGGATGACAGTAGAAATTAGATTATCATTTAATAATTCCATTTTTTTTTTTTTTAAATAATTTTTTTGCAACTTTTGGGGATTGACTATTTTTTTTTTTTTTGGGGGGGGGGTATTTTTTTTGTATTGAAAATAAAACTCAACAACATAACATATTTACAATAATATCATATCAATGAAGTAAATGGATGTATACAGAGCACTGTACAACACAGGCCAACAAAAATAATAATTCCAGTTCATATTTCTTTATGTATGTTATATATGCTTGAGGTGGTTGTCATCACTTCTTGTGATTTTCCCCTCAAAGTGTTTTTAAAACATCTAATGCTTATATTTACCCCAGTTTGACCTGTAATGGTAGCAATGATTCAAAATGTAGATTAAAGCCATTCATGTATGCCTAATCTAATGTTGCTGTGACTAAATAATCATTTGCTTGAATCTTCATATACATGCATTATATAACCTTTCATTCACCTTCATATTACATAATGAATAGCAATGACCGAAAGGAGACACTATTTACCCCTTGTCTACCTCCTGTAGGTGATGGCCATCGGGCGTACCTTTGAGGAGAGTCTTCAGAAGGCTCTTCGTATGATCCACCCTTCTATAGACGGCTTCACCCCAGACCTTCCCAGTGGCAAGAAGCTACCAGGCAAACTGGAAGATGAGCTGAGAGTACCGTCTAGCAACCGTATCTATGCCATTGCCAAGGTAACAGAACCATCTTGTAAGACTGGATAGTGATAAACCAATTTATGGCATTAACATGCATATTAGTGTAGAACATTTCAGTGCATCATATATTAACATGTAGGTGTAGATACAAAGACACTGTACCGGTACTCCAACATGTACTTTGAATGAACCCTTTCATTTACCCAGGCATTTCAAGATGGTTTCTCAGTCGATAAGATCCATGATTTGACATCCATTGATAAGTGGTTCCTACATAAGCTGGATAAAATCAAAGACATAGATGATGAGCTAGGAGAATTCAATGCGTAAGTATTCCACAAACTCCATTTCGTTGTGATTTCATTTGATTTATCTGTTCAGAGCGAAAAGGGTGTAACTCTGTGTTTAAGTAAAGGAGTTAATGCCTTTTTAGCTTCAAACAGACATACAATACTGTTCAAATGTTGAGATAAAATGCAATATGTTAGCAATGTGCATAGTGATGTTAATGTTTGTGTTTTCCAGCTATTCATAATTACCGAAGACATGCCACTTACAAATCCAGATGACATGTGACATATTTAGAAATGTGTGCAATGATGTTAGTGTTGTATGTGTTTTCCAAATTGCACAATTCCTAACATGAAAATGAATCGTGATTAATGTAAATTTGAGTAAATCAATAAATAAATTAATTGATATCTTTATATTCAAAGTGATAGCTTATAACATGTTAACCCATTCATTGCAGTTCGATTTTAGTGTAGCATTTTACTAAAATGTAGCTCAGGCTTTGGTGTTTTAATGGGTTAACTTCAAGGTAAATGCTGTCAGTATATGTGAAAGGGGGGTTAAACTAGAGTAGTGATTATTTACATATTAAAGATTTGGGAAGTTTTCTATGTAGAGTGAGCAAGTAGCTACAAGTAGGACAGTAGGGCTTTAATGTGTGTTTTGTTTATGTTGGGTTTAGTCAAACTGTACCTCGTACCACTCTGCTGGAAGCCAAAGGTGCCGGTTTCTCTGACAAACAGATCGGCAAGAAGATTGGACTCCGAGAGACCGATGCTAGGAAACTCAGACTTTATCATGCCATTGCTCCGTGGGTCAAGCAGGTTGGTAACCTACTTTTGATCTTACATAATTTAATGAATCTTCTCCCTTCTCAGCTTTTTGTATCTGGATATGGATTAATGAGTCAAGCATATTAGAAACCTGCTCTTTAAACATCTTCTTATCAAAAGCTTTACAATTTTAATAACGTCACCTCAGCATCCTTCCTGTGTTGCTATGAAATCTATATATCATATATACATTTAAAAAAAATCTTTTGCATCTATCTTTATATCTGAAAATCATGTCCTTATGTTAGGATGTATAATTGAAGACTTCTGAGAATATTTCTCATGATTCCCCTCCTCGATCATCCATTAATAAATACAGTCTTTCATCCTTCATCTTCATTTATGTGTATCATCCTTTTCTCTTCCTTATCTTGGTGAGACTTTCCTTTACGTACCAGATCCACCTTTATAAGGTTTGGTAATCTTATAGTCAGAGTTGGGGGTAGCATATCATATTGTTATTTAATATTAATATTCGTTTCTTGTATAACGCATATCACATTATAACGTTCTTAATTATGCGCTTCCAAAGAGCTTTGTAAATAAATACCCTAGCTTTGGCTCCGGCAGCCGTTATCAGGGCACGGTGCACTTCAAGGAAAATTTCTACCAGGTACCCATTTACCTCACCTGGGTCGGGTGTGGCAAATGTAGATCAATGTCTTGCCAAAGGACATTAGTCCCGCGGCGGGACTCGAACCGCGGACCTTGTGATCCACAGTCCGGTGGCATATCCACTCGACCACGACACCTCTACATGGATGTAACTGATTTTATATTTCTTTGTGAATGTTTTATTTTCTAGATTGATACAATGGCAGCTGAGTACCCAGCTAAAACAAACTACCTGTACTGCACCTACAATGGCATGGTGAGAACACATAAATCCTTCATACCCTTTTGTAGTTTAGGAGTTGGCCAACAATAGACAGTGATGATACAAATGTGGTACCCTACCCTTGTTGTTGTTGTATTTCATTCATGGAGTTTCTAGTTTTCTTTAGTTATTATGAGAACAACCCGGAACTACCTGAAGAAAAAGTGAGAAAAAGTCAGAAACAGCTTGTCTCATGTTCCCAGGCTTTCAGTTTTTTCTCACAAATATGCATTTGGATGAAGTTAAAGAGTATTCCTCATTAATCAATCAAACTGTTCATGTCGATATGAAATTAATAGTTTGATTATTGTTCCTATCTTGGAAAGATGACAACAGGTGTTCTTTTTGTAGTATAAATTTCTCTGTGATAGATAAAAGAAATTGAAAGGTATTCATAAAATGTAAAAAAAATCAGTTTAACCTCATCCAAACATCAATTGGTGTATTTGTATGCATGGGTTTGTCAAGATGGACTGGCTAACTTGGAAATTCAAAAATATATTAAATGCCTTTCTTTTACATCAGAGGTAAAACATGCAAAATTCTCTGTTTTAATCAGTACTTCGCATGATACAAGATATTGTAACCAAGGCAGTATGTTAGTGAATATTATAAGGAGATAACGTGGATCCTAATCAAATGATTGGTTGAAAGTGTACACGTGACCAGGCATTTATTTTTGCCTGACACGTAATTTGGATAATGACCGGTCATTATCAAAATCATGTTATAAAACATCATTTTTTAAAACAAATCGAACATAATTTTATAAAACAAATAATACACATCATTTTGTTCGGGCATTAGTAAAAAAAAATTATCCACACTCTGTACCTTCAAAACAGTAAAAACAGTTTAGACTGTTCCAAAGGTACCACATGTGGGTAATTCTTAGTAATGCCCTGACTGCTGTGTATTATTTGTATAAATAACTGATTTTTTTTTGTCACAGGAACATGACATTTCATTTGATGACAGAGGTACAATGGTTCTGGGATGTGGCCCATATCACATAGGTAAGACATAAGACTGAAAAGGGAAAACAAATAAGAAAGAATGCACTTTGGGTAGAAGTTTAATCTAAGGCATTGCTGCTATATACTTCAGTCAAACACATTTACATAATTTGCCAGTCATGTACATCAGAAGAAGTTGCACACTTGCAATTATTGTGAAATTTGATATTCAGAGATATAAAATCCCAGCTAGTGTAATTTGTTGACATTACATTACTATATGTTCATGCATACTTTTTCATTTCTAGTTCAATTTGATTGAGATGGACCGAGGCCTTCATTATTTGCCCTTAATGTTAGAATTATCAAAAGCCAAGTTATTTAATAAATTGATATTTATTTGTTGAATTCTAAGCCTGAGATAATTTGGGCAGAAGGAATAGAAATGTGTGTTATCTTCTAGAAGATTCTAGAAGATTATCCTACCCCATTGACCATTGATTTCACTTTCCAGGTGTATTACTCATGCAATATGTAAACCTTTCATCAAATAGGTAGCAGTGTTGAGTTTGACTGGTGTGCAGTGTCCAGTATCCGGTCACTACGTGAGATGGGCCGTAAGACGGTTGTGGTCAACCACAACCCTGAGACGGTCAGCACAGATTTTGATGAGTGTGACCGTCTTTACTTTGAGGAGCTGTCCCGGGAGAGGGTTCTGGATATCTACCAACATGAGGTAAGGCCATCTCAAATAAGTTACATAAAGCCTATCTGCAGTAGTTTGGCCAGGAGGGATTAGACCTCCCTGCGTGGTCATCAACAGGTGGTTATCTCATCAAATCAGCTTTCAATTAACATAAGAAAAAGGGGACCATGAGGGACTAATGGGTACCGCTTAGGTATTGTTTGATATATAGAGGGGGCAAGTAGCTACAAGCAGTGCAGCCCCACTTTAAGAAGGACATTGGTAGTAGTTTATGTGAGCCTCTTTAGTGCAACATTACATTTGGTTCTAAATATAGTTAAATACATCTACATTAATATATTTTTCTGCAATTTAAAGATAGTATCAATGATTTCAACAAAGATATACTGTAAACGCTGTCATTTTCGCGATGAGCAATCCTAAAACATATTCGCGGGTTCTTAAAATGCCTTTGCACACAATTCAGCCCGTTTAAAACACGCATAAGAAGTCATGCTTATATTTTTGCAAGTTCTAAAGTTTGTGATTGTCGATCTTAGCGCGAAATCTGTGAGAAATAAATGTTCCGCATATATTTCTACTTTTACAGTATCCCTTTCTGGGCCACTATTTTGAACTTTCTTCACTTATATTTTTACTTAAAATGCTAAATGTTTTAAGGATTGATTGGGCAGAAGATACATGTATATCCCATGGTTGAAAAAAAAAAAATTCTACAGTGTTTCAGATATGCAGAGTAAATAGCAGTTAATATCAACACATCCATGAGCAGTATCTAGTCTTTATGTATACATGTAGTAGTGAATAAGTTATCTGACTTGTTAATAGGTATAATTGTGTGGATGTTATTAACAGGCATAGCGATGATGAATGATATCTGTCAATCCACAGAAAGTATTTGTGTTGATACATCCGTCCTTATTCTGAGCTCTGTCTGATAATATCTACATGATACCAGGGCCCCCTTCATGACTAGATACATGCTAGCCTCTACCAACTTGTAAATGTATGTCTGTGATGACTTCTGTTTTTTTTCAGGGTTGTACCGGAATGATCATATCCGTGGGTGGACAGATACCCAACAACCTAGCGTTACCTCTCTACAATGATGGCGTCAACATCCTGGGTACTAGCCCTCTACAGATCCATGCTGTAGAAGAGAGGTGAGTGCTATTGACTTTTTAAAATCATCTGTTGCGTTATTATACTGTTTAAAGGTATATACCAGTTCTGGTCATGCTATTGCATTGTGAAAGAAACGTTCTGTTATCGATCAAGAAAGGTTGATCATCTAGCATATAAGTATTGGTGTGTACTGCAAGGTTCTGGAATCATCAAAATGATAAGAAATTTGGCCCAGTCTTGGTAAAGTTACAAGCACTGTACACAGAAAGGTGTATATGGGACTACGCGATATCTATCCAAGCCGGATAGATATGATAATTTACCAAATATCTCAATTAGTAAGCGGTTTCCTGGCAAAATTTGTATCACCACGTATAAGTCAAAACGTGTTCTTTCACATGATTGGTAATAAGAGCTTCCATTTCCTTTTTTTGAGAGGGGGGCATTTCCAAAACTGGTCTATACCTTTAATCAAGAATATATTACCTTCAAAGGTAATATATGTATTTACAAGCTTGATGTATTCTGTTTACCTAAGAACCCCCATCTAGTATTTTAGATTTATACAACCATTGAAAAACCTTTAACAAATTGTGGAAGAGATGAAGTAGTACTACAAAATTAAAGAATTACATCAAAGAGAAACATACGGTTTACTCTTGATGCGTGCAAGACAAAACAGCTTTAGTATGTCTCTGTGTATAAACAGATGAAGTAGAAATGCTTCATCATTTTTTTTGTTTTCTTCATATTTGTAGGTCAATCTTCTCGGCCATTCTGGATGATCTCGGTGTTGATCAAGCCCCCTGGAGAGCCCTTGCATCACTGGTAAGCTATCTTTGTGGTGTTATTACACATTCCTCAGACACAACAGTTAAAAAACATCTTTATTTCATTCCTTGGTCTTGTTAGGTTGGTCCTCCAAAATACTTGTCTGAGTTTTAATTGGAGGTGCAGGTAGGGTGTATTAATTTGTAGGGGGGGGGGGGGGGGGGTGGGGGGGGGGGGGGGGTGGGGGGGGGGAGGACGTCAGGGCAATTTTGAATTTGACAGGGTCAGTGTGGGCGATAGTCTCTGTTTTAAGCTGGTTCCAATCACGCACTGTTCTGTTCTGTTCTGTTCTGTTTGCCTTAAAGGATTGCACTTTATAGTTGACTGGTCATATCTGTAATTGGCATGATCTGGAATTAACAAATCTTCTTCGGTGTAGTTATATTAATACTCTTGAATCCAAGCTATATACATATTATAACATTGTCATTCTTATGAACAGATATTCAAAATTGTGCAAATTATTTTAAAAGCAAAAAAATGCTATGGTGCACTAGTCCAATAGCTCTTCTTAACATTCGTGAATCACTTATGCTTTATATATATTTTTCTTCTTTGGTAAAAAGGCTGATAATAGTTTTATAGGTCTATCATCTCTTTTTGAGCTACACTTGTCTTCTAATGTATAACTCAATCATATGAAAATTGTGACAGCTCACATAAATTTATATTTTTGTATATTTGTTTTGCAGGACGAAGCTCTGGAGTTTGCTGCTAGTGTTGGCTATCCATGTCTTCTCAGACCTTCATTTGTTCTCAGGTATGTACCTTAGAAAGAATAATGAAATAGATTGATCAAGTAAAGTACCATCATGTTCCTTTGAGTAGTCCAGCAAAGAAGGTACATGTATTCATTTCTTCAAGTCTAGGATCATAGAGACGTAGATCATTCAACTTAAACAGCACTCAAGTAGGCATTAGTAGAATGGTGTAAAATTGGTTTCAATGGCATTTCTCTTTTACAATTTTGTAATTATCATTGTTGAGTTCTGTGAATGTTATAATAATTAATAAAAAATCTTTGTATACAGTGGGTCAGCAATGAATGTTGCCTTTGGCCCAGAGGAACTGAAAGGATTCTTGGAGGAAGCTACCAATGTATCAAAGGAACATCCTGTTGTCATCACCAAGTTCATAGAGGGCGCCAGAGAGGTAGAGATGGATGCTGTGGCCAGGAACGGCAAGGTGAGTTGGAAATCACAAACATATTTTTTGTTTGTTCTCTTGAAGTTTGTTTATGTTTTCACTTTCAGTTCCTGTTTTCCAATCCGGATAAATTATGGTGATCCGCTTAGATGAGGTTACTAATTGATCCAACATAAGATCATGGAGCATTATCTTATTTCTCTTATTGGAATATAATCTTGATGAAACAAAGGATTTTAGCTGCTTTTTGTGGATATAGCTGATTTGAAGCTACAGAAAGAAAAAAAAAAATGCATTTTTGGAATGATCCATTTCATTGCACTGTTTCTCTCTTTTGACTTTGAAGTCATATAAGTATCATAGCCAGAGGTTAAAGGTACTATGTCCCATTTGCAGGCCAAAAAAATGAAAAAGTTAAATTCCAACTGCATCTGAAAGATAATACTAATTTAGAACTTCCCTAAAAAAGGTGGGGCTTGAAAATGTCTTAAATTGGGAAAATAACAACTATTAGTTGTCAAATCGACTTTAGGGCTATAGAGCCCAAAAGGTTTCCTTGCATAATTTGAATATGAGGACACTGCTAACGTTTAAATTTCACAGATATGACATACAAGACATATTCATAATTCCTGCAAAGTTCTACAGAATTTGAGGTTGGGATTGGGCGAGGTACGAAATTATGAACTTGCATGCTGTATTTCTGATGCTGTTATCCATTCTCCTTACTGTGTGCAGGTAGTTGCTCATGCTGTGACAGAGCATGTGGAGAATGCAGGAGTACATTCAGGAGATGCTACTCTCATCCTACCACCTCATACTCTTACTGATGAACAACAGAGGAAGGTAAATAGAATGTCAAATAGTGTTAAGATGATGGTGGTGGTGGTGGTGGTGGTGGTGTTGGTGGTGGTGGTGGTGGTGGTGGTGGTGGTGGTGGTGGTGGTGGTGGTGGTGGTGGTGGTGGTGGTGGTGATGATGATGATGATGATGATGATGATGATGATGATGATGATGGTGGTGGTGATGATGAAGATGATGATGATGGTGGTGGTGGTGGTGGTGGCGGCGGCGGCGGCAGTGGCGGCGGTGGCGGTGACGATGACGATGATGATAGTGAATATGATGAAAATGGTGGTGGTGGTGACAGTAGTGGAAATGATGGTACTAATAATGATGATGGTGATTTTGGTGGTGGTGATACTCTTACTGATGAACAACAGAGAAGATAAATAAGTTTGTTGACGATGTAATACATGTACAACAAATATTTTCTTTCCTTAAAATGCAACCACAACGATGATAAGTGTCAAAAGACTGAAACATGCAACCATCCACAATGCTGTTTGGATATACTTGAAGTATGAAGACCCTGACTAGTTACATGTAGGGTGTAGTCCCCCAAAATGATTCATGTAAAACAGTTCAGGGGTAACTTTACCTAGGTATCACATATCTACCTAAATTGTGCCCTTGAATTTTTCTTCTTTGTTTGTGTTTTTATGCCTCCGCCACCGAAGGTGGTGCCGGAGGCATCATGTTTTCGGGTTGTCCGTCCGTACGTCCGTCCCGTTTGACCGTTATCACAATATCTCAAGAACCATTTAAGATTTAAACTTAAGACTCTGGAATAGTATTTATCACCATAGGAAGACGATCTGATTAGATTTTGGAGTACGTAGGTCAAAGGTCACAGGTCACAGAGGTCAACTTATGAAATTCCTTGTATTGAGTTTGTTAACGCGATATCTCAAGAACCATTTGAGATTTAAACTTCAAACTTAAGGATAGTATGTATCACCATAGGAAGACGATCTGATTAGATTTTGGAGCACGTATGTCAAAGGTCAAGGGTCACAGAGGTCAACTTATGAAATTCCATACATTGAGATTGTTATCATGATATCTTAAGAACCACTGGAGATTTAAACTTCAAACTTAGTGATAGTGTGTATCACTATAGGAAAACAATCTGATTACATTTTGGAGCACGTAGGTCAAAGGTCAAGGGTCATAGAGGTCAACTTATGAAATTCCATACATTGAGATCGTTATCGCGATATCTCAAGAACCACTGGAGAATTTTCACTTCAAACTTAATGATAGTATGTATCACCATATCATAATATCTCAAGAACCACTGGAGATTTAAACTTCAAACTTAATGATAGTGTGTATCACCATAGGAAGACAATCTGATTAGATTTTGGAGCACGTAGGTCAAAGGTCAAGGGTCACAGAGGTCAACTTATGAAATTCCATACATTGAGATTGTTATCATGATATCTCAAGAACCACTGGAGATTTAAACTCCAAACTTGTTTAAATTGCTCTATGGCGGAGGCATCATTTTCGACTGCACGCAGTCAAAATTCCATCTAGTTTGTTGTTGTTGTGTGTTTAGTTTTCTTTTGTTTATTTAGTTTAGTTTTGTTATGTATTGTTTGTTATGCCTCCGCCACCGAAGGTGGTGCCGGAGGCATCATGTTTTCGGGTTGTCCGTCCGTACGTCCGTACGTCCGTACGTCCGTCCCGTTTGACCGTTATCACAATATCTCAAGAACCATTTAAGATTTAAACTTAAGACTCGGGAATAGTATTTATCACCATAGGAAGACGATCTGATTAGATTTTGGAGTACGTAGGTCAAAGGTCACAGGTCACAGAGGTCAACTTATGAAATTCCTTGTATTGAGTTTGTTAGCGCGATATCTCAAGAACCATTTGAGATTTAAACTTCAAACTTAAGGATAGTATGTATCACCATAGGAAGACGATCTGATTAGATTTTGGAGCACGTATGTCAAAGGTCAAGGGTCACAGAGGTCAACTTATGAAATTCCATACATTGAGATTGTTATCATGATATCTCAAGAACCACTGGAGATTTAAACTTCAAACTTAGTGATAGTGTGTATCACTATAGGAAAACAATCTGATTACATTTTGGAGCACGTAGGTCAAAGGTCAAGGGTCATAGAGGTCAACTTATGAAATTCCATACATTGAGATTGTTATCATGATATCTCAAGAACCACTGGAGATGTAAAAACTTCAAACTTAAGGATAGTATGTATCACCATAGGAAGACGATCTGATTAGATTTTGGAGCACGTAGGTCAAAGGTCAAGGGTCACAGAGGTCAACTTATGAAATTCCATACATTGAGATTGTTATCATAATATCTCAAGAACCACTGGAGATTTAAACTTCAAACTTAATGATAGTGTGTATCACCATAGGAAGACAATCTGATTAGATTTTGGAGCACGTAGGTCAAAGGTCAAGGGTCACAGAGGTCAACTTATGAAATTCCATACATTGAGATTGTTATCATGATATCTCAAGAACCACTGGAGATTTAAACTCCAAACTTGTTTAAATTGCTCTATGGCGGAGGCATCATTTTCGACTGCGCGCAGTCAAAATTCCATCTAGTTGTTGATGATTTGTCATGTCATTGGAAATTCTTCAAAGAAATTGATAGTGTTGAATATTTGTATTATGGTGTGTAGGTGAGGGACATGACTGCCAAGATTGCTCAACGTTTCCAGATCTCAGGGCCATTCAACATGCAGTTCTTAGTCAAGAATGATGAAGTCAAGGTCAGAATCGCAAATCTTTTTTATATTGACAGTATCACATTCCTTCACTCAGACAAAGAGATAAGATATATTATAATACTTTATTGCATAATTTCATCTGGTAAGCACATAGTCTTCCCATAAGAGTACCAAAGTACAAAATATTGCTGGTAAATTATGTCACATTGCCTTTGTAGGAAGTAACTTTGTGATGGTCAAAGCGACCCTGTAGAAATAGAACTACAAATGAATACACAAACAAATGAATACACAAACAAATGAATACACAAACAAATGAATGAAATAAATAAAACTTGCAGCATGATAGGATATCAATAATATGTATATGTATAGATGTACTTCTTAATGACTTGATAGAGAGGAAACGTTACAAATTTGGACATGTTTCTTTAAGACAGCTGGTCTGATAGTTGATAGTTTGTTGGTTAATGGTATTGTATTTGTTGAATAATTCATTCTAGGTGATTGAGTGCAATCTGCGAGCTTCCCGTTCATTCCCGTTCGTCTCCAAGACAATCAACTGTGATTTCATCAACGTAGCAACCAAGATCATGGTAGGAGAACATATAGACCCTAGTCTCCTTCCAAGCCTCAAGAACCCATTTGTTCCACAGGGATATGTTGGCATCAAGGTAAAGTGATGATTTTGTTGAATGTTCAAATGTTGGATCGATGTCTTTAGAGCATATTGAATTTTGATGTACCTAAGATCCTTGGCAACACACATTTCTCAAATAAAACAGTTTGAAAGTACTTGCAACCTATATGATATAAGAAGTAGTAATATTGGGTGTACATGTATGTCAAGTTGACATGTTGGTGATCACTCAAGCCATGAGTGAGTTGGAGTTGAAAGATTAGCTTTGCGTAAAGCCAAGACCTACTTTTGTGTTATATAAGACACAAAAATGTCACATGTATTATGCTTGAGTCCTATTTAGCTGGCTAATAGGAGCATTTTAATGGCAGTGGGAACTCTGTAGCAGCAGTACAAATATGTTTGAACGCTCAGCATGTGATGGCTGTGATACTAGTGGTAGTACCAATAACATTACTTCAGTAATAATGGAAGAAAGATAAACAAAAACAGAAGAAACAGGATAAGTATGAAGTAGGGGTAATCTATTATCAAGCCTTCAGAGTTCTCTCCCCACTGCATTTGCTCTAGTTCTCAATTAATTGCATACTACTCTTATTCTACCGTCCAGGCTCCGATGTTCTCCTGGCCCAGACTGCGTGATGCTGATCCGCTGCTCAGGTGCGAGATGGCCTCTACGGGAGAGGTAAGTCCTTCAAGTCATCTTCATAGCTGTACAGAGAAACCTGTATATAAAGGCCACTCAAGAAAAACAAGAAAACAAGTGACCTTTATAGGCAGGTGGTCATGATTGACAGAGGCCTTTAGTACATGTTTCAGTGAGAAATGAAACTCTGCTAAAGGGAAAGAGAAAGTGTGGTCTTTTTTAGACAGGTGGTCTTTCTATACAGGTGGTTGCTAACGCAGGTTTGACTACTGGAAAGGATTCTTTCTTTATATCTAGGCTGGTGACATAGTTTCTGTCATGAATGAAGAAACTAGAGAAATTTTCCATGGTAAATTTGCAATGGTTAAAAAGTTTGTATAGAACATGAGCCAGGAGAGTGTTATGACGAGTATTGTATGAACATACAATCTCTCCTTTTGCTTCCAATTTTCCAACAGTATTCCTCAACTTCTATTGCAATAGTCAGTCCTAGATACCTATTGGAAATGAGTTGTAACCGCACGATATCAAGTCTCATAGCAGTAAACCTTCTATGTACCTTTTACTTCCAGGTGGCATGTTTTGGTCCCAATGTTCCAACAGCATTCCTCAAAGCCTTGCTCTCCACAGGATTCAAGGTGCCTAAGAAGGGCATCATGATCGGTATACAGAAGACCTTCCAATCTCAGTTCCTTCCTACCGCCATGAAGTTCCACCAGATGGGGTACGAGGTGAGTCACGTTGGAAACCTGTTGAGTTTATTGCATTCCAATTTCTCTAATCCAAGTCATCTTGGGCCTAATCTTAAGGCCCCACTGCACTACTTATACCTACTTGCGCCCTCTATATAGCAAACAATGCCTAATCGGTGATCTTTGGTCCCCCATGATCCTCTTTTTTTTATGTTAAGTTAGAGCTGATTTGATGAGATAACCACCTGTCAGTGACCTTCCAGGGTGGTCTAATCCCTTCTGTAAACTAGTACAGATGGGCTTTAAGTGGGTTAAAATGGCAATACTGTCAACCTTTATAGATAGGCCACCGTAGGAGAATGAGATAAGAAGTCTTTTTTTTATACAAACAGGTGGTCTTTGTGCACTGATGGTTGGTTCATGTAGGTGTGACCAATAAGGAGCTTCATAAGAAGCAAAGGAACAGATTGCCCAGTTAATTTAGAGCAGGGAGATGCAAAAGCTCATCTTATATTTATAATGCACATAGTTTTTATACTGTCTCAACATCGTTGGAAGTAGTCTATATCATAAGTGCACCAAAAACATACGTTTTCATGTAGAGCCATTTTATGTTAAATTACAGACCTCACATTCAATCAGGTTCTCATTTCTACTGGGCTATTGAGTGCAATTTCAATAAAAATGTTCACAATGGACATTCATGCCATTACCCAGACTTTATCTGACTGTACATGTAGATGCAAAGGTCGAGGGTTCGAATCCCGACACGGCACTAATATCCTTTGGAAGGATATTAACCTGCACTTGCTACTCTTCACCCAGGTGTTAAATGGGTACCCGGTAGGATGCGACCGTCATTGTTGGTCAAAGAGTTTTTGAGCGTCAAGTAACGCTTGGCTGGAATGCTCCCCAGGGAGTGGAGATTGTGCACACAGTGTGTGCGAGCAAGCACTGAATCCAATGACCGGGGTAATAATATATTTGTTAAGCACTTAGAGACATTGTATTAAGCGCTATATAAAAGCTAAATATTATTATTATTTATCATTAGGGATCAATGAGACACAAAACCTGGTTATTATACGATTACCTCTACATGATGCCCTATTATTCACTTTCAGTTGTATGCCACTGAGGCAACAGCAGCGTACCTCGAGGCCCACAACATTCCTACCACTAATGTTGGTTGGCCACTCGTTGATCTACATGAGAAGAGTGATGCCACAAATGCCACCAAGTAAGTCTATTAATCCTACTCCTGCCAGATAAGTCAGAGAGAGGATTTTCTGATTAAAAACACATGTGCTAATGCATGCCCTTGGTCATCCCTATCTATATTTGATTTGATTTGAATTATTTCTGTTTGATTTTCTTTTTCTTTTGCACTTTTAAAAATATATAACAAACAAAACATTACAAATTGTACACATGACAAGAGAATATATGTAGAATAAAGTAAGGCTGGCTGTAACTAATCAAAATATATGAATAGACTATTAATTCTTGAAATACTATCCCCGATCAAGCACCTAGAATAGCACTCCAGATTTTTCCTGAAGTTTCTCAGTTACAGTGCTGCCTGAGGTGAGCGTACCTAGACACACTAGTATTGATGCCTGCCTGTATGAAAGCATGTTTATATCTCTGACTGTATTTTTATATCTATTTCTTGGTGCATATTGATATTTCTTAATGTATTTCTTGAGTGAAATATAATTCTTTTTTAGGGAGGAAAGTTATGTTGCAGTTACAATGAATAGTTTTTACATAGATAAGGTTCCGTGTATAATGTAGATTTTCATTCAGCTCTTGTGACGATATCACAGGACAAAATAAAGAATTAAATGACGTTATGTCACTCTTTGTCCTACAAGTCCCATTAGTCAGTGTATACATATAAATTCAGGTTCAGTCTTGTGAGTGCTATCAATCCGTCATTATACTTACATATCTACCGTAAATCTCCGTGTATAAGGCGCACTTTTTTGCCGCCGAAAAAAAATTGAAAGTCGGGGGTGCGTCTTATACACAGGTACAGAAAAAAAAAGTTTTTTTTTTTTTTTTTTTTTTTTTTTTTTAGTTTCGATTTATGGCGCTATGCCTGGCAATGTCGCATATGTTTTCTATAACAAATGGTGTACCACAAGGTTCTATCCTAGGTACTCCATTATTAGAAAGATAGAGGATGCTATTCATATCATGCATGACTATTGATGTTTGGCGTAGAACACAGAGCTTCTGCTAGGTGATGTGAAGAGGCTGGTGTGGGACACTTGGTATCATGAAGCCTTAGACTGTTGTTACTATTATTTGTGACAAGTTCACAACTTCTACTGCACCTCTTTTTTTTTTTAGTTTCGATTTATGGCGCTATGCCTGGCAATGTCGCATATGTTTTCTATAACAAATGGTGTACCACAAGGTTCTATCCTAGGTACTCCATTATTAGAAAGATAGAGGATGCTATTCATATCATGCATGACTATTGATGTTTGGCGTAGAACACAGAGCTTCTGCTAGGTGATGTGAAGAGGCTGGTGTGGGACACTTGGTATCATGAAGCCTTAGACTGTTGTTACTATTATTTGTGACAAGTTCACAACTTCTACTGCACCTCGATGTAAAATGAAGGTCCTTCCCCGCGTGGGTTTTCGGCAACAAAACAACAACAACAACAAAACAAAAAACGATTTTTTTTTTTTTTTTTTTTTTTTTTTTTTTGCCCCCAAAATAGGGGTGCGCCTTATACACAGGTGCGCCTTATACACGGAGATTTACGGTATTCTTTATCTTTGCTTCTGTCAAGGTTGATCTATGAGGGTGATATTGATCTCGTCATCAACCTTCCCAATCATAACACCAAGTATGTCAAGGACAACTTCCTTATACGACGAGCTGCTATCGACTCCGCAGTCCCTCTCTTCACCAACTTTGAGGTTAGTTCAGTGTTCCATCATCCCGGCCCCACCACTCCGGGAACGGAGGGGCGCATTCATGTTCCCAAAATGTCCGGTAAAGGGGTACTTTTCACGCAGCAAAGTCCGGCTCGTAACACACACAAAATTGGCCCGTATTGACTTTACACACCGGGTTTTCATTTCTAGGAGTATCCCCAATTTATTGCTACTCTATTTATTAAGCACTTGAAAAACTTCTCCATGTTATGTACTATCAAGTCCAGTTTCATGTGAAAAGTAAAGTATTAAAAGGTTAATGTAGAACTAGAAGTAGAGGAAAATAAAACTAAGACAACAGATTTGAATATTACTAAGTGGAGGAAGATAATTACTGATTTATATCTGCTATCAAGTAAATAGAGATGTATAATTTGATTTGATCTCATTTAAACATGTGATTAAGTGCTTTGTTATGAATATTTATGTACTACGATGTTATCCGTGATTTTATCTGAATAAAGATTTATTTCGAAACAAAAAAAAAATAAAAAAAAATAAGGTTAATATGAGTAAACTAAAACACATTTATTTGTAGTATGGCAAAAATGTCATCTATAGATACCTGTATGTAAAAACAACAATCATTAATTTTTGTTTTCTGTTCTTAGGTGGTGAAGTTGTTTGCTGAAGCCCTAGACCATGTGGGGCAGCTGGATGCAACATCCCTCTTCCACTACAAGCGTCCTACAGGCAAGACGGACAAGGTGATAACGTCGTGAGTGTGAATGACTCCATAGGAATAATACAGCCCCTCTTCACATCAAAAAATAATAATCTATCCTTGTAAAGGCACTGGAGCTAAGGGTCATTACAGGCAGGACAGACAAGGTGATTACGTTGTGAGTGTGAATGACTCCATAGGAATAATAGAGCCCCTGTTCACATCGAAAAATAATCTATCCTTGTCGCAAAGGCAATAAAGCTAAGGGACATTGCCATGAGAGGGTTAGAGGTGTTTGTCAGGTTGTCATAGTGGTGCTCTGATGTATGCTCTGGCGACAATTGCTTGGGACTTTATTTCATCAAAGATATAGGGTTGGGTTTAGTATTGCAATGCGTTTTAGGTTAGGTTTAGTGTTAGGCTTAAGGTTGGGTTCAGTGTGTAGTCCTGGACTGAGGTTAGCAATCCATCTAGTGCAGGATATTAACCCTGTAAGAATCTTCGCTGGAGCATGTTTCATACAACCATCATGGTTGATAATTCATAGGGAACAGCGGGATATCAATAGATTGCTGAAGCTTGGATCGTAATGCTTCAGTTGCAGATGGGAGCAATATTTGGATTTGTAGTTGAGTGTGTGTAAGATTGTGTGAATATGTATTCTTCTGAAATATGTGAGGAAAGGCAAGGTGTAATATGATTTTTTTCAAGCTACAAGGTTTCATCTTGAGTGATAATTGGCGTTAACATCCTTTGAAATAGGTAAACAGGGTCCCATATACTTTATGCATTGCCATCATTTTTAATTTTGTGACCGAGTATTTTTCTTTTCTTCATTTTTTGATAAATTCATCTATTTATTTATTTATTTATTTATCTCTTAAAGAAAGTGCAATTATACATCACTATTACATTATCATACATATTCAAAGCCATGTAAAGCTCTAGATATAGTCCATTGAACTCATATTGTGAGAGAACCCAGACGAGGGTGTGACGTCATCACATAGTGTCGGGAATGAATGCCAATATCAATCTTTTAAAACTTCATGGGAAGTACTATTATCCAAAGGTGTTGAGTTTGTTTGGGACCCTTACACAATGGTTGTACACTTGTGTTGTAAGATCAGTGTATAAACGTATATATTACAACAATGTATATATATATATATATATATATATATATACAGTGCGTCCCAGAAAAAAACGAAACTGAGAAGTATCGATGTTTTATCATAACTTAATCACAACCATAATTAATGAATGATACATATTTGGAAAGCTTAGAGTCTCCTCTTTCAGTTGATGCTACTCAGATGATGCATATTTCACGCATGAGTGATTAAAAGCAATTTGAAGGAAGGGAACCAAAAAGACATTTGGCGGGCGGTATCTGAATTTCGAAGAAAAATTCACATTTCTAGAAAGTTGAGTTTCTGTCCTTTTATATGACACCTCAATTTTCATAATTTTAACAAACGAATTCGTTTTCACTGGGTGCCTGCCGTTGCAAAAAGCAGACTTGACCATAGACTTAACTCCGTTTCGTTGACAATCAGCCATGCATGAAGACTCTCGTCTAAGTGCTCAGTGACACATAAACCACTTTTTCTCAAAATGTAGTTATGTCTTTGTGTCACTGACCCCTCAATGTGTATAATATATTCTCATTACAAGGTCACATTAGTATTCTTACTATGAATGGTGTCTTCTACAAGTCACCTGATATTTAGATTTGCCAACTAAGTCAACAGGAATGAGCAGGAAGATGTTTGATTTAGAATTCTGTGAGTGAAAAGAGTTATTCAAAATGTACTTAAGAGACACGAGTTAGTATTTGATATTCTTTGGCTGTTTTAGAAGGGACACTTGAAACATGTATTCACAAGAAAAGTATTCATTGCCAAGTTTTTGTGTTGTAAAATATTTAATTTCCTATGTTTTTTAATTGTCAATGGAATTTTCAAATTGACATGGCGACACATTTTTGAGAAATCTCATTTGTGGTAATTTTAAGATCATTTTGTTATCATCGATAGAGATGTTGGCCCCAATGTTTGCATTTTTTTCATTTTTATATTTTTTTGATTGTATTGGACTGTAATCATTATGCACATAAAGTTTCATTGAACTGTAATGATAGTATTTCACAATACTCCCAAGAGCTTGATACATGGTCAAATTTTCACCTTGTAATCATTATCATATTTATTATGGTAGAGATATGATGTGTATTATCACCTTGATCACATGTCATCAGCATGTTAAGTCTTTTCAGTATTCAGTTTTGCATCAAAATATTCATTTTTTTGTTACACCTTCCCATTTATTTTCTTTAAATTATGTATTTTGTTTTGTTTATAGACGTTAGGCTTTATCCCACTTCATACTTATTTCTCATTATTATCCATTTGTTAATGAGAAGGAGCATTGGATTTAAGAGGTGAAAATCCAGAAGAAAAGTAAGGAGTTTTCTTTGCTTTTGTGAACCTAATTGTGATGATGATGATAATATGGCCAGCACTTATTTTGCAATCGTCAATCTAGCGGATTTTCTGAGGAAAAGAGGAATCCTGTAAGAACATATTTAAAACCTGTTTATTGTACACTTCAATTCTCCTTCACACGTTGTGTTGTATAATCATGTTGCTGTTTCCCCAAACTTCTTTTTTCTGCGGGAAAGTTGTAAGTAACATGGAATAAATTCAAACATTGTGTTGTGTTGTTTTAAGTTTTAAAAGATTACTGACCTATGCTTAATTGATTATCCTTTTTTTTTCTTCATATGTTATAATTCAATGTTATATTTCAGTTGAAATCAATTTAATAAGTTTTGTAGGTGAAACCGTGAAAATTAATCGAAGATAGATAGATAGATGAGTGGTAGTGAACACATTAATGCCTTTGAAACCTTTCTTACAGCACAGCCAATTGTAAATCTAGTGATCATATAATTCAATTGATTACTTATAAATGTGTTCAGGTGTTGGAAAAGGCATTGGTGTCAGATACAGTGTGTACTTTAAGTCGAATAGATTTGAATGTAAAGTCTGTGATTTTTGCTACATTTGAGGCCGAATAAGGGGATTTTATAGGAAAAAATGTAAACATGAAGATAAAAATCTGTCTTGATTTTGATCTTCTGAGATAGAATATAAGATGAATAGTTTTGTACTAAATGTAATTGATAGTCTTAAAGACAAAAGATAGTGACATAGAGTAGATTTGCAAGAGGTTTTGATAGTTGTGTGCACATGCTTACTCAAATTGTTTTGCTATGTTTTTATTATGTGTAGAGTAATTCTGAAATAATTGAAATAATGGTTCTGAAATAACTCGGTTCTACCATTATTGGTAACCATGAAGGAAAGACAATTCATATATATTCTAGTGAGAAATGTGTGCTTTGTATGTTCAATAATGACAACGCTATGAGTCATAATAGTAAACAAATATTGACTGCTTTGAGGGGCACAATTAAAACTATTGCTGTAGGTTGGTCTTGATATGCGATGTATAAGATCAAATGCATTTGTTAAAGTTAATCTTTTTGCATACACTTATTTTTTAATTTAAAGTTAACTGCTTAAATATATGGTAGGAATATGAAAACAAAAGGAAGTCTCTGGTTGTTATATAATTCACTATGTTTTCTCACCACTCTTGCTTTTCTTTTGATATTAGGGTAGAACTGATGCAAACAGCATAACACTTGTGTCTGGATTTTTATTAATAGAAAAATAAATAAACCTTCAAATAGATCTTTGGAATCATCATAATAAATATTGAAAAACTCTTAAATATAGATGTATGGACTCATCAATTTGTACGTTCATTCTAATGGGGATTTTTTTTAATTAAAAAAAAAATATATATGTAAACTATAGAAATGTTGCCTTAGACATTAATGTTATCATGATAAACCAGTACATGAGCTTAGTAATTAGTTTGTAACTACTGAATGAGTGATCCCCACTATAATAGGAATCTCTTTTATGCACAGGTAAATACACTTGAAACTACCATGATATGGTGTAATGTTTTGGGCAGGAAGTAGATGCCTTATTTATCACGAGTCAAGGTTCGTTCACATATGCTATAGTACTTTTTTGTACTTTTGTTTACTAAATGAAGAGAAAGCCGGGAAGAAAAGAAGAAACTGTGCACAAGAATATTCCTTTGCACACTCGTTTTTTTTCTGTGTGTTCATCCTCCTCATCATCATCATCTGTGTGTTATAAGATATAAAAATGTAAAGCAAAGTAGGCTTTAAAAAGCCTCTGCATGTAACCATGGTATATGTGAACGTACCTTTACAGAAGTGGTCTTTAATTACTATTCCAAAGGGATTTGCACTAGGTCGATATGAAAAAGTACACTTGGCAGCATGAATTAAGAGTTAAATAGTTCTTTTTTTTCTTTCTGTTTTCTTCTATAAATATCAAAGGAGTGAATAAGACTAGTCGTATAGATATTTTTAACATGACTGGTAGTCATGTTTTCTTTTATATTTGTTTTTGTATAGGGTGGTGGGAATGTAGGCTTGCTACTTATATTTTCCCTAATCTATCTGCTTTCTTGTGAAGAAACATTTTCCTTTGGATTTATGATTATGTAGAACTAGATTTTAAAATATTGGATTGGTTAATTTTGTGTTTAGATTGTAGTTGCACATGCTCATGAATGTATGTGGAAGAAGTAGTTGTATTTTTTTAATGCAATGTAAGATGAATTGCCTGTAAGACTCATTACATGTATCTTAAAATCCTGACTAGAAAAGGATATTGAAATAGAATTATTATTATTGTTAATGATCATGACATTGAACATGTTTTATGACTTTTGGGATTTAGCAATTGGTAAAGGAAAACATTTATGTTTAGCTGCAGAAGTAGAGTTTATAAGAGCACATTTATTATTTTCACATCACTTTAAATATTTGAGAGCATTCCATTAACATACTGGCATTAAAGTGGACATAAGCAGTGTGGGAAAAGAGTAATGTTTATTGGAACTCCCTGAAATAGCATATTTTTATGTGTCATAATGAACCTGCAATATTCTTCAATTTAAAGGGATATTTAATACAAATCAAAGGAATATTTTGCCCTATTTTAGTTCATAAGTTGATATTTTTGTTGTTGCACTGTTTAAAACTGTACGTATGCATGTATACAAGAGGGTGGGGAGGATTGAATACAAATGAAAATTGCCATGATAGATTAGCAGTACTTATGCTTGTTTAGGGGTAATGATTTATTATTCATTCAAATTACTCTTACGTGGGTATGGCCTGGTATAGTGGTTCATTCACTTGACTCTTGATCCAAGGGTCAAGGGTTCAAATTGCAACCTGTGATTAACGTCCTTTGGCAAGACATGCATCCCCATTTGCTACTCTCCACCCAGGTGTAAAAAGATACCATGCAATTGCTGAGGTAATGATAATTGCAGGGCCCACATAAAGAACAGTGATGGTACTGATGATACTACCCTGGGTAAATAAGACCAACTTGTTATTATTATTTTATTTATTATTCTTCATTTGACACGTACTCTGACTACTGTCCGTACTTGGTATTTCATGTAACGATGATGCCCTGAATGGATCATATTTGTTTTTGAAACAATAAAAACTTTGACTGAAAATTTACAATGTGTAAAGGTCTTATCTTTGCTGAGATTTAATGGTAGTGTTGTTGATATGTATCAAATATTTATCCAGATTGCATGACTTTCAAGAATCACGTATTCAAACATGAGCACTGCAATGACATATCAAATTCTGAACTTGGTTTTTATCTCCAATACAATAAGCCTTTGAGGTGATTTCTTTCATGTCTTTGTTATCAATACATTTTGCAAGTATACCAGTATCTATGTGTACGGCTGATATATCTGCATATGATTCAATTTAGATCCTAGCTGACTTCAATAAAGATTTTCAAAAATGAGTCACGTTTAGCAAAACTTTGGGGATATTTTGTTTTCAGGTGTTTGAAAAAACAAACAATACATGGCATAGCGGGTTTTGTTTTAATCTACCATCACTGAAGTTGTTTCATAGAGTACCAACCCTCCTTCAATAATGAATAAATGGAAATCTATTGTAGTAGAGGTCTCTGGGGGTGTTTTTAAAGGTGCCACAGGTCTGGAGAAAAAAAGGGTTCTCACATTTTGGATAAATTACAAGCAAAACAATTAATGAGATAAATAAATTGTAAACAGAACAATAAGATTTTTTATTTTGTTTTGTTTTTATATATTTCGAATCTTTTGTCAGAGTAGCCCATTCACTAATATGTAGTGGTCTTCCATTGGGCCCTGAATAATCATGAACATATTTACATCAAAAAGCATGTTTATACAGAACAGTTAAAATAAATTCCATAGTACATTTAGAAAGATATGACACAGCAATAATAGAAGTGGCACAAACGAATACTCGTTTGCAAAATAATCATATGTTATTGACCTAGTTCAACTGTAATGCCAATAGGAAAATATTGATTAAGTCGCAATTATGTGGATAAATCATGTTAATATTACAGAACATGCGAGGGGTGTATGTTCGGCTGAGCTATTCACAAATTACAACTTTGTTTAAACAATCTCTTAAATTAATTGACGGAGGAAGCCGTTCTCATCGCATTATCTAGCTTATTCCATTCAAATATAGAAGAAACAATTGGGCTACACTTATAACAATCAGTGTGAAATCTGGGCACATGTAAACATCCATTATCTATTTGCCTTGTATGACGCTCATGTAGGACGAAATCATGAATATTCATTATACCCGAATGTAAGAAGGTGCTAAGTTATGAACGCATTTATATATAATCATAACGCGACTTAACTCAAACCGTTTGTCTAGTGTCATCCATTTAAGACTTGTTAACAAATCAGCCGACGGTGTGTCATATGTCAATACTATTCTTGCAGCCCTCTTTTGATTTTTTTTGCAGCTTAGTTGTATGGGAATGAAATCTGTTCAACCATGCAACAGAGCAGTAATCTAATCGTGGCAACACTAAGTAACTTTAAGGATTGTTAAGGCAAAAAAGTCTTTCATCTCTTTATCATACAAATGTTTTTTCTGGGTAAGTTTACTTTTTTCTACATTTTCTGCATTTTCTACATGTGAACATTTTCACTTGGCAGCCCTAGAGGTGGGGGGGGGGGGGGTTAAACCCCCTAAACCACCCCCCCCCCCCGTAGATCCACCCCTGGAACTAACACAGATGTTGACATTTTAACGACAAAGTGGGAACAAAGTGTGTGCTTCCGTAGATCAATGATAAAATGAATGAGATAGGGGGGGGGGGGTAAGTTCACTTTTTTGGGTCGCCCTTGTGCAAAAAAAAAAATTGAGAGGGGGGTTTAACCCCTAACACCCCCCCAAGCGTACGCGCCTGTTTGCCGCACACCCCCCCCCCCCCCCTTGTGTAGAAAGCTCGCTACGCTCAAGGTGACGAGGTCAATGGTTAGGAGGTTTATTTCACACGTTGTATTTGCCATTTTGTAACGTTACTCCTGGAGCTACACTCTACATCACGAGTTTTGTGAGTTTTATCTGTGAATACTTCTCATTAAATAACAACAAGTATGTCTACATGTATAACTAGTTGTAGTTAGACAGGGAGGTGAGACGAACCTCCCTGGTTAGACTGTGTCCGTATACTGTACATTAGACAGAAATAACCGTCTGATTTGGGTCATTTCTTTAATAAAACTGACATTTGTTGACATTCCACAATACATACTATAATCGGAGGTCTAGTGGAGCCAGACGTAGTCTCAGTGGAACAACCGACGATTAGAGAGACTGAAGTTTTCGGTCTAACTGTACATATACCATGCATATTATATACGTGACATATTCAGTCAAGTCAGGAAGATCTGTATGATTATTGTATTTGTATAATTATGATCGTGAGAAGTCCTGTATGTCTAATTAGGCAGGCGGCAGGCCTATACCAGCTAGTCAATATATAGTCATACCTCTAGTCTTACCAGATTTAATTTACATACTGTGCATATCTACCGAAGTTATCGGATATCTAGATCAGACTGATGCAAAAGGGATTTTACAACAAACAGCATAATAGTTCAAAGTCCTGTCCAAAGCTATTTACTTTTTTTTCACAGTGCTTTAAATAATGAGAATGCTATAAATGTGTGTTTGTGTGTGATCGCCTGGACAAAAATCTTGGTAAAAAGGTCATTTTATTCCGTGAAAGAAAATCTACAATGAATCTGTGTGCGACATTCAGCGTTTTGTGGGTTTCATACTGGTTTTGAATAGAATCAATGGAGTGCGGGAGGGTACTCTTTTCAGGATTCAATTGCATTATCTACAGGAAACCAAATTAAGCTCCAGACTTCGAGGGCAGCTCCGGCTCCAGGATTTTCCAAATAGAAATTGTAATGTTCTCCATTTGGAGTCCCTTTTATTCCAGGGTAGCGATTATTTGTTTTCCCCCTTTTTTTCTTCTCTTCTCTTTCACCTTTGTTCATCTTTCTTGTTTCCTTTTTCTTCCGTCACTCTCTCTTTTCCCTTTTTGTTGTAGACCGCCAAGGGGGGGGGGGGGGGGGGGGGGTTGTCAGTTGATTGTGACGCAGTCACGGGCAGTTATGATGTTTATCGTGTACAACAGTTTCATGAATTTCGGGTTTTCTCTTGAAGTGCTTCTTTAAGATTGGATTTCCTTTAAAGACCGAAGTCTATCTAGTTTGAATTTTCATTTGTCTAGTACGACTTTGGTCATGGCGTCTGGAAGAGCCGAGAGGTAAGAAACGACTTTTTACAAGAACGCTACACCCCAGTCACATCAACGAACTGACACCAGACCGACATCAGACCTACAAATCATACACTACCCCCCCCCCGGTCCCCCGGCACTTTAATTGGTCAAGAACCAAGAATCGGTTCGTGCTGGTTTGGAGCGAGCCAGTTTTGATGACAGTGTGACCGAGGCATTAATAGTGATAGGCGGGAAACTCCCCTTCTTGGAAAAGTCCACTTTAATAAAAAAAAAAATATATAACAAAGGACAAGCGTCACAAATTTTTCGGAGAATTTAGATATTTTTTGGGTTGCAAGGTGGTGCTGATTTTTTTTCATAGATTCAAACCGTGTTGACAATTTATTATGTATTGAAAAATGGAAGAACCACAAATGTCATGCAAGTTGGCGCTGATTTCAGTAGGTTCACATGTCATGGTTGTGTTGATAGATCATCATGTGTTGGAAAATCGAAGAAACTTTAAGCCAGTTCACGGTTGCAGTCTGAGCATGAGCAGATAAAGGTCATTGCAGAACAAATTTTGAAATACATGGAGACGTAATACTGGATACGTGCTCATGAAAGTTATGTACCGGACTAGCGGGTAATCCATTCATGCACATTCACTTCACTCCATGATACACAGGTGGAAGTACTCTTTGAAAAGGGGGAAACAAAGGCTATAACACCTCCATCGCTGTAGGAGTGATTATTTCAAAATGTACAAAGTGGGACCTCTTCATTTTTTGAAGATTCAGGGTCATTGCAGTATTGTGCTAACCGTGAACAGGTCTATTCATTCGCCTCCTTCTTTCCGTCTATATTTACAAGGCCTCGCTTGAAAATGGAGACCTTATCACTAGACCAGGATCGATACAATGAAGGATACGCAATCCTCTTGGAGAAGTTGGAACGAAGGCCGAGGTTTAGAAAATGGGCCCATGAGGTGTTCCCTGTAGCCATCGTGCAGAAGTTTGCATCTGATCAAGGAGATGACGATGGAACATTCCGTACACTAGGAATAGGGAGCGGTAATGGTAGGTTATAAGTTTGTTATATTTGTATTTATTAACATTTATTTCCTTCTCAACAGCACAATATAAAACACAATGTATATATACATGATATATGTAACAATTATTTCAACATAGAGTATATAGTAATTAATTCAGATACGGAAGGAGGCGAAAACCCGGAAAGCGTAGCTTGAGTTGGGAACGCCCATAATAAATTAACACAGTTACCGAAAGAACATTATAGATATTATTATGAAAATTACATTGTATATATAACAGAACGTTGATAGGAAAGAAAAAATAGTGAAAGGAAGAGAGGAGAGAATTAAGTATATGCATGTAAGGCTAGCCTTGAGCTCTGGTATGGGAATCGTATGTTGAGAGAACATGGCTATAATTCATTCTGGATTGTTTATCCTGCATTAAATTGATTGTTTGAACCAATAAAATAAAAACAAACTCACAACTGAAAACTCTCTGAAATCATCTTCAATAAAAACCACAACTGCCATTTGCACGTAGTGACTTGTGTTAATTAAGCACAGTGTCGGGCCTATACTTAATTACCTTGATTTCCTTATCTTTCTATGCTCGTTTCTCACCCCTATGCATGTTTTACCAAAATCGCTTGGCACATGTCATTTATTTGTAATCTTGAACATTTGGTTGACTGTAATAAAATGATGTAAGTGCGCTTCATTTAATTATTGGCACGTTAATTATCGACTCGAATTAATCAGCCTCTTCTAACGGCATCACAATCTGATCAATACAGGAGAGTTTGAATTACATCTCCTGAAGCAGTTGTCGACCCGCTTTCCTCGTATTAACCACGTAGTCATCGAACCATCAGAGGAGTATATCCAGGCTTATCAAACTGAAGTAGCGTCATCATCTTTCCAAGGGTCCATCCATTTTGAATGGCACGAAGGGACGTTTCAGGAATACAAACAGAAGAAACTTGAAGGGTAAGGATCGTCAGCTATCATAAGGCCATCTGATGACATTCATGTTATTCTTAGAATATAATTATACAGGTACATTCGGATAATAGAAAACAGCTATCAAAACCATATACATATAGGCACTATGCTTGTCTATTCTTCAACCGCCATTGTGAGAAACGGCGCTCCCCTAATGGGGTGGGGGTGGGTCACATTACTCCTAGTTTTTATTTACCAAAAGACCTTTCCATTTCCCCCAACTCGCTGAATTAGCGCATCCTCTCACCCAGTTTGCCATCACTCCCATTACAATGTGCCCATGTGTCCTGACAACAGTCAGTTGAATTTTAAGAATCGGAGTCGCTTTTCATTGTAAAAACTTTCCTCTTGACACCACGCTACTATTCAAGGCAGTGACGCCGGAGACAGGAGGGGCACATTGCTCCCACTTTTAAGAACCTAAAGATTTTCTATTTTCAAATCACGACCAGGCCTTTTATCATGTGCCTTTTCCTTCTCTTTTAAAAGGAGTCGTTTCTTTTATCAAATGTGCTCCTTTTCATACAAATTAATATTATTAAAGATGATACAAAGTTTTGGGAAATTTTGAAATTTTGGTGGATAGTGATTCTTTACAATTTTGATATATTTGGATGCCCCTGTGGATGTATTAAAAGCACTAGAAAATTTAGCCCCTAAAACACTTCCGCTTTCGAGAAAAATTGAATATACAAATTTACCGGTGCTCCCGGTAAATTTTGATAAATTTCAAATAGCGCCTACGGACGAACAATGGTAGCTACGACCATGAAAATCTCAGAATATGTAGTTGTGATATATAATTATCGAACGGGAATAGCTAATTGGTCGATTTTAGTCAAGAAACTTAGTTTTATGACTTAATTAATATCTTGACCTTGGGAGGGAGCTATACAACATAAAGAGTTTATTATTTACAATTTCAAAACTTTAAACTCGAGTTCAACCGCGACAACGATCACTGACTATTGTAGGATCGCATATGCTTCCAATATGTTCATTTGAACCAAATTCATGACCCCAAACCAAAACTTTGTATTACCTAAGGAATCCGCATTTTATAACCTTTGTGAAAAGTTGACGCCCGGGTTTGAAAATACGAAACTTTTGGCGCATCTTTTTTTTTTGGGGGGGGGGGGGGGGGGGAGGGGGGGGGGTAGCGTCAAGAACTATTTAGCTGAAACATGAGACAACACAACTGTGCAGATATAAAACATACGTCTCCACTATGAATTCAATTTCAGGATTAGAATTATTATCTATTGTATTCTCTACTACTACACAGTACTTCGTCAGATGGTAGATTCGACTTCATCAATGCGATACACAGTCTGTATTATGCGGAGAATGCGAGAGAGACCGTGGAGTTACTTTACAGGAGTCTGGCCCCGGGAGGGATCCTTATGATTGAGATGAGTGACGGTAAGATTCTAGAGAGAGAGCTGAGACAGTAATGAAGCAAAATCTTTCAATCATGATCAAGGCTATGCTATTTTTTTCTAAATAGGCCTACAATCGAATTGGTAGCAAAAGCAATCTGCAGTGTTTACAAAGCAATCATTAAAATGAATATTATTTATACTTCACGCAGCTACACTGCAAATCCTATACTGATTTAAAAAAAGATCTTGGACGTTGGTGGTAATATATAGATATTTTCCCCCTTCTTCTTCTCCTTCTTCCTCTTCATCTTCTTCTTCTTTTTCTTTTCTTTGTCTTTTGTCTGTCTCGTCGGTGTGACTTGGGTATGACTAATTATAAAGGCCCGGTCACACAGAGGGGACGCATGGGGGACGCACGGCCAGCGCATTCGAAATTTGCAATTTGGGCCAGTGCGTTGTCGTTCGCTAGGCGTGCGTCATCATTCGTTACTCGTTCGTCGAGCGCGCTGGACCAACGCTGGGCCAGCGCTATGCATTCGTCGTCATTCGCTGTGTGCGTCGGTTTTTTTTAACATGCTCAAAAGTGTGCGCGGAGCTCGACGCATGAATGTACACGCCAAAGGCACGCCAGACATGCGTGGAGCGCGCTAGACCAGCACCAGACATACGCGGAGCACACGCCCATTATACGCACAGCGCACACGCTGTGCATTTTTTGTCAGCTCGCTAGCTTTTCCAAAATCATGACAAAAGTTAGGCACGCGGCCTTTTCCGATTTCCAATGCGCTGGCCGTGCGTCGTAGAACGCGGTGCATGCGTGGACCATTCGTCCAGCGCGCTAGCAACACGCTGTGCATTCGTGGAAGTTGTTATCATGTGCGCTCTCTGTACGGTCTGTATGCGCACTGTATGCGCACTGTATGCGCCCTGTATGCGCTCAGCGCGCTCGCAACACGCTATGCATTTGGTGTCAGCTCGCTGTAGCTTCGACAAAAGTTGGGCGCACGACAACGCACTGGCCAAAATTGCAAATTTCCCTTGCGCTGGCCGTGCGTTCCCCATGCGTCCTCCCTGTGTGACCGGGCCCTTAAACAAAAGTATTAATACCATGATTAATGTCAAGGCGCTAAAGCATTCAAGGAATTACCGCGTATCCATTTACTACGTATAACTTTGATAGAAGAGATTACGTTTGTATTTGGATTCTGCATGACAGTGGATTCGATGTTTGTGATCATATTGCAGATAAAACCAGTGGACAAAGGTTGTTTGAAGACTTTCCAGAACTGCAACAAATGTTCACCCTCAACAAATGGGTCACTTTTTCCGACGTAACTGGCGCCCTCTGCAATATGAGCATACCATTCTCTCGCCTCACCAACCCTATGATCTTTGACATGACCGAAGTCTTCGATGAAACTTCGCGTGAGGGTAATTTATTGCTGGATTTTTTCACGCATGTTTCAAACTTTCGCAAGACTGCTGATGACGGCCTGGTACAGAGAGTTTTGAAGTTTCTAAAGATGAAGGCTGAAGAGCTGGCGGTGATGCCGTTGGAGCAGGCTAGTCTGACAACAGGAAACGTAGGTGACGGAAAGGAAAGCACTGGACTCAAATTCAAGAAAATTTGGGAAACCTTGATCATAGAAAAGCGTTGAGTTCACCACCTCAAAACTACCCAACGACAAAGTGCTACTGTGAAATTCATTTACCTATGACTTCCAGCTTAAGTTTACTTAGCGATGTTATAGTGTTACGATTTTGTGCGTTCTTTGCCTCAAGCATTGATAAACGCATCTTGAGAGAATTGGTTTTTAAAAGAAACTCCTCAATAAAGTTCTGCATATCAAGTTTGAGCGTTGGTCCCTCTCTTGTTACCGTATCGTCATACTTGACGTTGGTATCATCGAAAAGCCTATTTATTTCCGTTCACAATGAAACTCCGTTTTGTAATGATTATGTTATCATGGAATGTGCAGTGCACATGAATAAGGGGGGGGGGGCAGTTCAAAGTGAAACATTGCAAATTACATCGTAATTGTCAACAGTGAAGTCTTCATTTGTTTGAGGATGGATTGTGTTTTGAATAATGTTGAGGTGGTCATGCATGGATGCAATGGTGTATTCTTCCTTTCGATTAAAGCAAATTTCATCTCCTCTACCCCCCCCCCCCCATGAACCTCAACATTTTTCAACACATGTTTCTTTCTCCACAAGGCTATTAAAACTGCCCGAGGTTATTTTTTTCAAAGTAGTTACTATCTTGTGTTTGATGCTTGTATTATGTATTACTGGTGTCGGGTTACAAACTTTATGATAATTTACATGTAATAATATTTAAGTAAGAAAAGCATTATCAATTGTGAACGGTCCATGGTAAAGATCTCAAGTTATATAGCATACACATCATTTTAGTTGAGGTTGCCTTGCCCCCAACCGGAGTGGGGGGGGGGGGCGCCCTACATTTATTCATCTTATCATGTCGAAAGAATGAATGAATGATGCAAATGCCATAAGAATATGCAATTTAACTGCTCTTTATAGGTTAGCAGGATAATGTAATGTTTTGTTGAGGTTTTGTTTCTGTTCTACTATACTTCCATTATATTCTGTTCATTTTTATTTCTAATCACCACCCTAAAATGATTTATACTCTTACGCACGCATTGTGACTTTATAATTATTATACAGGTAAATTGTTTTTCTTTAAAAAAAATCCCCCCCCCCCCAAAAAAAAAATCGAAATCAGCTCCATATATAGCCACCCTCAATATTAGTTTAATAGTTGCAGATACATGTAATATGTGAATTATATGCAATTGCACAACGCTCTCTTCAGGTTCATGTTATTTTAAGGTTTTCTACATGTATTTTCTTTTATGGCTGGAAACATAATACATCACATAGTGCAACATTAAGTGTGTTCTATTTCTCTAATTTGATATACTTGCAATTCATTGTGATATCTTGCTATTTTATTCAATAATGTAAAGTCACATGGATTGGAAAAAGAGACCTTCGGTTGTAGTTATTTAGTTTTTTCTTTTCTTTACCCCGTGTGACTCACTTCAAATCTTACTGAGTTTTTTTCATTCACTTTTTCCTGATTTCGTATTTGTCGAATAAGTAATAATAATAATGATTATGATAACCCTGCTATGTCAAGATTTTATTTGTTTAAACTATTAAACTCGACATCAATGATTCCATCTACAATTATCAGTCTTTTGCAAATGAACGGCCCCGCATAATACCTTTCCGGACCAGTCAGCGAAGCTGTTTCCCCGACCATTAATTCCAGGTAGATCAATGAGTTTTTCCCACTATAATGCAGGGGCGGCGGAGCATCTTTTAAAGTTGGGGGAGGGGCGGTGTACCAACAAAAGGGGCACTTTGTGGAGAAAAAAAATGGGTAAATGCAAAGGGAAACCTCAGAGTGAAAATATGCAATTTTTTGATATTATTATCAGGGATGATTTCAATAATTGTTTCTCTCCCTTCATGGTCTCAGATACTGCTTTAAAGCATCATACTTTCGGTTGGGTGTGATGGTCTGAATATTCATTTGCGAGAGAACGAAGCAAGCAACCCCGTAAAAACAAGATTTGTGAGGTCGCAGTGCGAATAATTGTATAATTAATAAAGAGGAAGACACAACCCTGATAGGGTTGTAACCACAATCTAAACATGAAATAATGTAAAGACCCTTAATAAGAAAAAAAAATTACATTAAATTTAAATGCGAGCGAGATTTGGGTGAACTAAAGAAAAGGTTCATCGTAGTCAATGTATATTAAGAGTACACTTTTATGGTGAAAGGAAAGGGGCATTTTACAGTTTTACAGGTTTTAAAGTTTGCAACTTCCATCGTTAGCTGGATTACAGGCACACGCCAAAACGCCCAGTTAGTTCAATGGCGGGGGGTGGGGGGGGGGGGGGTGTTGAGTAAAACAAAAATTGTACTCACTCCCCCCCCTCCCCGTTGAACAAAATTACAAATATTGGTGCTCATTACCCCCCACCCCCGCTCATTCGCTGGCTAGTTCGCCGCTAAATATTTTCTCACGAATTGGACCCTCGCCCTCGCCGCCGGCTTGGGGAGGGGGGGGGGGGTTGAGAACTGTTCATGAATGAACTAGAACTAGAATCGTATTAGAGACATTATTTATACATTCTACCCCGACCACAACCTGTTTTACAAAAGTGAGAACTAGTTTGGTGTAATGGGGGCTTTAGTAGACAGCGAAAGCGCTTAATTAAGCCCCCATCACACCAAACTAGTTCTCACTATGTTGTAGAAAATGTTGTCAAACGGGCTCAAACACCGTGCCAACGAAGCTGAACGTAGTAGTAACTGTTTACGATTTTTTTAAGAACCCCATGGGGTCGGACGGGCTCGGAGTGGCTAGTACGGGAGAGTGCTCCAGAACTTTGAGCGTGTTAAAAACTTTCCCCGTCCTGAAAGCGATAGCATCTGGCAAAGATCGACCAGTGCCATTATAATAATGTGTGAGACGGAGCTTGCACCTATTTCTATAGATAGCATTGATTTTTAGGGGTTTAGGATCTAGGGTCAAGCTTTAAGTCTTGCATTAGGATTGAAATTGGGCTTCCGAGGTGAACTATATATAAAAAAAAATGACCTGTAGATACGTATAGATCTTTACGCAGTATAACAAGGCCTACAATAAAAACTTGTTGTATTGCCCCTTGGGTGCCAAACCATGGGTCGGTCGGTCGGAAAAGTTTTTTTTTTTTTTTTTTTAATTTTTTGTCGCCCTCTTTGGGCCGATATTTTTTTATTTTTTTTATTTTTTAATTCCCGCCCTCTTTTGGTTGATATTTTTCAGTTTTTAATGCTTTATACATGTGTTTCAGCGTCATTATTTCATTTATATCTTTTTCACCTCATAATAATCCATGGTTTGCAATGTTGAGTTGATCGAGACGTTTACGCTAGTAGGATTTTGAAACTAGGGCAGAAGATGAGTGAGAATTTGGGAATGATTTGATTTTATATGCATTTATATCCCATTTATCCCAACAAACAATAAATACGTATTTTTTTATTTATTAATAATAAAAAAAAATCTTAAAAACGGTTAAAAAAAAAACTTTTTAAAAATGCCGACCGTAGATTTTCAGATTTTTGGGTCGGTCGCAAAGAGCAATGCAACAAGTTTTTTATTTTAAGCCCTATTGAATGCAGAGGGAATGAACAACAGATGTGCGTTTCACATAAGTAATAGAAATTGCGATCGAAATATAATGGAGTAGTGAATACTGAATATGTTTCTTTTGTTAATCAATTCGATACAAGCGACGCGATTTACAAACTATGTATTTGCCTTATCACGTAGCTTTAAATCTTCACTTGCCATCCTACGATAAAAAAGTGTATATTTGCCGGGGGTGGGGGCACCAGCCATCAATCTAGGAAATTTGCCAAGCTTTTTTCATCATTTTCCATAAACAGGAAAATATTGTTTCTATATGAATGGCACTTGGCATAGTTTCATAGCCTGAAGATTCCCGTGGTTCAAAGTACACCTATGGACTGTAGGGAAAGGTTTTTCTATGAAGCATGCAGTTCACTGGGAATTGGACCAAAAGTAAACTTCATATTTCTTTTTTTGTCGAAGATGCTTAATTCCCAAAATAAACACAAAAGTTCATAAGTCATGAGTGGAGTTAATGAAATTAAATGGAATTCAAGTAACATAGACGTTAATAAACAAACCTCGAATATTCAAATTTAAAATGTTAATTTATCGATTTAAATGCAAGTGAATGCAATAATTCCCAAAATCAATACAGCAGTTTATAAGTCATGAATAAACACTTGATTAAATTTAATGGCATTTAAGTAACATAAAAATATTCTAAATAAACATAACTCGAAATGAAAATCATTAAGATTATTGATAACAATATTAAATTGATAGCAGAAGCAAAAACAAGATTATCTTAGATTTCAAAGTACATGAACTTATTCCCATTTAATTACGATGTTAGAACACTTTTCAGAAACTTTTGCTATTCTATCAAGAGACTCAGAGCAATGTATGCACAGATTTTGGCCAATTTAGTTGGTCCTAACATGGCGTATATATAATACATATATATAAATATATTGTTTTATATATTCACTATTTTTTGCCCAACTCGAACCGAATTGGCTAAACTCTGCTGATCCATCGTACTGAAGAGACTATAAACAAATAAGATTACATCACCCTCTGTCACCCCAATTCGTTTGTTCACCAATCACATCAAAGCGCTACCCCATTCCTCTTACACACGTTACACTAAATTCTCAGATAAATGCCAAAAGATCATACGAATACTATCATATTTTGTAGCAAATTATTCATATCGTTCAAAATCACAATTTTGCAAAGTTGTTCCAAGGTCAAATTCTAGGCACCACTTTCTTAGGCCCATGGCACACGAGGCGTCATTTCAATTGCGTTGTTATATGCGTGAATCAGACCCACGGAAGCCGATTGCGTTGTTATTTGCGTTAATCAGACCCATGACCGCCAATTGCGTTGTTATATGCGTCAATCAGACCCATGGAAGCCGATTGCGTTGCTATATGCGTCAATCAGACCCATGGAAGCCGATTGCGTTGTTATTTGCGTCAATCAGACCCATGAAAACCGATTGCGTTGTTATTTGCGTGAATCAGACCCATGGAAGCCGATTACGATGTTATCTGCGTCGATCAGACCCATGGAAGCCGATTGCGTTGTTATCTACATCAATCAGACCCGTTTTAACGCGTGAAAATTAAACAAAATGTTTACCCTGTTCGTTTTGCAATCACTCTTTGTATAAGATATGCTGCGTCAAAGCGTTCGTCGCAGTTCTACGTCAAGCAAATGACGCCTCGTATGTCACGGGCTTTAGACCTTGAATTGAAAGGTGACTGACTGATGTGATGTTATCATGTTTGTTTCCCTTCTACCAAATTTACATTCTGCGGAGTCCAAGAAGACTATATAATTATGATACCCCATAAGTAAAAGACTATACTAGAGTATAAAACAGTAATTCAAAAGTTAGAGAGCATAATTTTACTAATTCAAGCAATTCCAAGTCATTTCTAATGTAAGTTTTTGCAGTAAATTATTATTACTAAAGTTGCGGGCATGACGGGTGCATGTGATATGATTAATATTCATCATGGATTTGCTCACCATGACACCGGCAGGCATTCATGATACTGTTGCCATGATTACACGCTTGAACCTTTGTAATCAGGATAATTGAATTTATTGTCTCCCATGAGTTTGGCAAGTTCCACGTTAAACGGTCGATGAAAATCATTGAGGGCGTTCAATGTCTCTGGATGTGTCTGTTCATGTTGTCTTTGGTTCTGATTACTGCGTCTCCTTTTCAGTATTCTATTCTCCTCATCCACACTCAGTTGTCCTGGGTAAGAATAGCAGAGCAGAGATATAATGAAATGTTAACTCGAATCATGAGTATGGTTGCATGAAAGTAGTATACCATTTTCATGGGCTTGAGTTATATTCGCACGGCCCCGTCATAATTTTAAACTCCAAGTTTGCGTATCTTCGTGGTTTTAAACAACGGCACACTAACGTCAACGCTGGTTGAAATCGAACAACGCATTTTGAAATGAAAGCGATAGATATAACTACATAATACAAGCTGGTAGAAGCTTGAAATTAACTGCGTGCATAATTTGGCTCATAACTTCCAATTATGTACCACGCTGCTAGAAGTAATAGCACTTATCATAAGATCTCCTGCCGTTTAAAACTGCGAGTAAACTTTCAGTTTCTGAAACTAAGAGTGCGTCCCACGGACCTTAACTGAAAGATAACCTCGAAGTTTGAACCTTGGTATTAGTTATAGAGATCGACCGAACTTGGTTCGGTGGTCATTATAATATATCTAGTTTCCAGCGCAATCTTATACACTGGTAGACGCAACTGAAGTACATGTTTAACACTAAAAATGGCCAGATGTGTCGGAACTGGTCTAGCGGCCGGCTTTTGGCGTACCCATACATCGACTCAAGGTTCGATCCTGAGTCCCGTCGTTCGCATTGTAAGTCCAAGTTTGTCGCCTAGATGTAAACAATATCAACATCTAGTCATCGTTTCACGATACCGTCAAGGTATAAGCTCACCGATATCCAATTGAAACGCGTGGTTATTTTAATACACGCAAACTCCGTACACTAAGTCTTGCACTTCCACGGTTTTGTAAAACGATGCCTTGATCGATTGATACAAGTCTATTAAAGACAACGACACATAAATCATGATAGTGCACCTAGAACAAGAGTTGCGATTAAACTAACCAATTCTAGACCAAATCAAATGCAAGTCCAATGTCTTTGCGGTTCTGATTGATTGAAAGTGAAGTTGTGTTCGGTTTTCAGAGGTATATTTGATCAAACTTGTGTTGAGCTTTATAACATCAATACAAAATAGAATACTTCTAAGGAGATACAATGCTTATTATCGAAATGACTGACTCGAGCTTTTAATGACTGCGTAGAGGATTTAAAGCAAAAAGCAAAATAATCCGAAAGTCGACTGTTTTCTAAAAACCTGATTTTATTTCTCAAACTTCATGCTTTCATTATTTTGGTTTTATACCTCATGGTCTTTTCCCGACGCCTTTGATATTATATATTCAATGTCTTACTTAGATCGAGAAAGTTGAGAAGATCTCTGTAGACTGTGACAGGTTCGGCTTCCCAATCCTCCAATCGTATCACCTTGAAATTATCACGTGGGAAGACTTTCAACCAATCACGGATGTACACGTGATATATACCCACTTGCAGGTCTGGGATTAGGTCGTAGGGCTAAGGATGCAAAGGAGTATAATAACAAAGCATATTTCTGTCATAATGTCCCGGGTAACCATATTCTGAGGAAAAGAAGATTCGTCAGATTTCTACCGACGATTAGCGCAAGAACCACAAGAAATGGATCACTGACCATCTTTTGGATAGGTCTGTGTACATGTTAAAAGTTGTTGATGTTATATGATTAGATTCACTTATTATCTCTCTCTCTCTCTCTCTCTCTCTTTTCTCTCTCTTTCTCGTGGAGAACAAATACTTATTCCACGGTCAGGGATGTTCACAAGTATGTGTTCTGAAAATTGGAATTTATTGTAAGTAAAATGTACGAATGTTCGAATATTTCACAGGGTACTAGGTGGCCTACACAGGGCTGTTGGAATTGAAGCTATTTCGACTATGTTACTTAATGCATTTGCTGGAATAATGCTCAAATTCAAGGGAAAAAGAAATGCTTAGAGTGCTTAGAGTTGCGAGTAAGCCTATAAGGCCGTAAATTATTCTTTCGGGGGGGGGGGGGGGGGGGGATAAACCACAGTCTGTCCGATGGATTAGACCCTTATACCAGTAATATTCTACTCACACATTCTGCAGCATATGCGCAGAACCTTAGATTGTGGTCTTGGACGCATTTTTGGAAACACTGGATGTAAGTGGTAGCTTTTTGGTGCCATCTGTCAGTGTCACCTGGGCGGTGTAGATACCAGAAGAACGAGTCGGCTCTGTATTCATATCAGTGTATGTGGACAGGAGAGAGAGAGAGAGAGAGAAGTTCGATCTAATTACTAACAACCATATTTCATTTCATCTTTATTGACCCATGGTAATACATAATAACTCTGTTTCCATTTCCCAGCCAGACTGATGCTACCGCTTCACCCCTGCAGTATATAAAACGCAAGGCCACCGTACGCCTGACGTACGGTCGCCGTGGAACAGCTCTACGGCATGGCTGCGAAGTGTATAATCACTACGGCGAACCTAGAAATGAAAATAGTTATAACTCCGCGTTATAATCCCACGGCGACCCGTACGGCCTGTAAAGATAGGGATATGCCCTAGGGTGACCCTGAGGCCACCGCGGATTTTCTGCGACCGCCGCAAGTATCTCTCGATAATCATTCCATAAATGTGGGTGAAAATAATTATTCCACCATTATGACTAACAGTGTACATGTAAAAAAGACACATGCGACATGGATTGGAGGATATAACAGCAAGAAAGATGGTGTTCTTTTGAATAGAATTCTAAATTGGGTGTTTGATGATTATTTCCGACATTTAGTATGTGATAACCCTTACCCCATATCAGAAAGGTTTTAGAATTGCCTCCCTCCTCCACTCTCTCTATTTTTGTTTGTTTGTTTGTTTGTTTTTTGTTTGTTTGTTTTTGTTTTTTTTTTTGGGGGGGGGGTGATCTTCTTCTGATATACGATAGGGCTATAATACGTACCTCTTTGTTGGGTTGCGTATCATTAGAATAAACTTTGCGTTGGGTTGAAGAGCGTGCATAAGATCAGCGTTGGTGTAGTGGGGTTCCGCAGCATACGGAAAAGTCTTTATCCATTCTCGTCCAATGGCGTAAACAGTTGATATAGAAGCATCACCTGGTTAAAGAGTTTATGTTTGAGGTTAAATAACAGAAGTCGGTAAAGAAAAGGTTGACGTACAGATATAATATAGTTTTTCTGTTATTGTAATCTCATTTTGACGATGATGATAAAGTTCTCTAATTTCTAATTAAGAAACAATTCCTTCACTTGTCAGAGTAATGTCTAAAACAGACTGTCCCTTATACACACCTTGTATCCACGAAGGATCTGCCTAATTTACCCCTTTCCCATCATCAAAGAATATTACTCTTACCGAATGTTTTCTTTCTTTACAAAAAGGTGGACTGCCACCATTTCTATATCCTATAATAGGATAGTTACATTTATCATAATGAACTCTATTTTGGAGAGATCGAAATATCGAGAAAGAAACTAATTAGGAGATAATTAATTTTTTCTGCCCTATCTAAGTATATAAATTGCAGCTGAAGTCAGAGTTTCAATTTGTAACTAGTGTACCATACTCACCAAACACCTTTGGGTGGTAACCAATCCCTTCGTTGGTAGTAATCCTGCTATTTATTATTTCTGGTACAACTGATGCTTTATATAAATTAAGGTACCATTCCAGAGAACTATCGTCCGTGCCACCAGTGTGATTGCGGGCTTGGAGTACTTCATGAAAACAAAAACAAAAACAAGAAAGAGTCACACCGATATTAAGAGAAGTTCTCCTGCTCTTGAGCTTGAGCAGGAGAATTTCATCGCCTATTTCTCTTCTTTCTATCGGCCATTTCTCCTCTGTACCATTCATAGTGGCCGTTTCATCTAAAATTCAACTGGAAGGCCATCCAAACCCGGAGTTTTGTTCATTTTCATTGATTTAACTGCATTATACACTTCATTTCTGGTGAGAGGGGTCTCCAAAAACTTTTTATCATCTTCAGATAGTTTGAAATTGAAATATTAGCAAAAATTGCATCATTGAGGCTGTTCACACCGGCAGAGATAGCGCGCGCTAGACGGCGCTATCTCTGCGGTTTGGAAGGTACAACGTCGTTTCGGTCCGCCCAACAGCGAGCCACGGCGAGCCAAAACGGCCTGCCACTGGAGCACCTCTTGGGGGTGGTCCACGACAGAGCGCGGTCTAGCGCGCGCTAGAAAAAAGGGGGTACTACGATAGACCGCGCTCTCTCATTGCGGTGTGAACAGCCTCATTGAGAGCGTTATCATATTCAAGTAAATTTTCATCTGGTATTGAATATAACTTAGCATAAATATCATGTATATTTCCAAGATCTTAGTGGAGTTAGTAATCAGATTAACTTCATTAGCATTAAGCATATTAATATTCTTCTTTTGCCAGGCTCTATTTTTCAAATTACGAAAGTATATCATCATGAAACTTACCATGATAGATATTAGTCTAACTTAGAACTGCGTGACTTTTCAGCGACTCAAGGTTACCATGACGTCATCCAGGCGCCATTTTGTGGAAATCAACTTATGATCATATCTTCATAACGGAAAGTCATTTCTCATTCATATTTATCATGATCAAGGTCAAGATCCGTCCGGTCAATTTCAGGTCAATAAACGCGCGCGTACGCCCGGACGTAAGAGCGCGCGCAAAATTTCAAAATGCTCTAAATCGTCTCAAATTCATTTTGCATACGTTTCAGGCCATTGGAAACGTAATGGCCTGAAACGGCCATTAGCATTTATCAAAAAATAACGCACACGCGGATGCGCGCGCGTTTCCATTCGTCATGGCCGTACGCAACATAGAATCGCCATACACAACATTTAATCGCCATTTTTTTCTTCTTTCATTTTAATTCCCACTTTTTTTCGAACAATTGGATACCATGTTTATATCTTTATGACTATTAATAACGGAATGAGCGTCTGTTCAAGATAAATGTCCGTGCGCGCGAGCTCTTGTAATACATAGTGAAGTTTTTTGGTATATTGGTCAAAGCACGTACTTGCCTCCCATTCCGGCGATCATCTTCCATAGATCCATAATGATCAATGCTACACAGTTGAAACTCGACTCATGGACAGACCATAATGGGAGGATTATTTCGTAACGAAAGATCAAATCGTGAAAATGCGTTATTATGTAACACATGAGCATACGTATCACCTAATTCGTCTAAGTGACGAATTCAAGTCTAGTCTTGATTTTGTCTTTGCCGAATAAATGATATTAATGATAGTGATGATGATTATGATCATAATAATTAGTAAAGATGATATTAAGAGTAATGATGAAAATAGCAATAACAGCAACACTAATAACACTAATAATACTAATATTAATATTAATAATAATAATAATAATAATAATAATAATAATAAAGGTAAAGATTAAAATAATGTAGACTCTACCTTCAGGTCGATGTATGGGTATAAATGTATATCCATTTCTTCTAGGTCCCCACCAGTGGGGTTCTTTGGCTACCTTTGCGATGACGTCGGGGTGAGCCGTGATCTTGTCCCAAATGTCTGACGTCCCACACTTGTAATTGCCAAGGACATAGAAGTAAGGCAGACAATTTAGTTCCGTCTCACCTCTCAACCAACAAGGATTCTTGAAATTGTCCAGGAAACGTAAGGGAATCTTTTCAAAAAGCTGCAGAAATATTGCAAAAGAACAGTATCAAGTTCAACGCCATCTTTTAATGACGTTTGATGTATTTCACACATAATGATTATGTATGACGCAATGTAGTATACAAGCGTGATTAATAAGAATATTGGTAATAAAATCTACCTTTTTTGCAAAGTATGTTTCACACACCATAAATCCCCCCCCCCCCCACTCAGTGTTATTTAGGGTACACATATGCTTGTTCCCTCTTTTTGAAAGCACCCCCTATCTAAGGACTGCCAACATTTCCGAACCCCCCCTTTCGCGGGCTTTTCGTGGGCTTTTCGCGGGCTTTTCCTGCCTTGGAGACCCCCTCAAATCATGAAAAATGCTCAATGTACCCCCCTAAATTCGGAATAATTTCTCAGGAGTCCAAAGAGATGAGAGAAAAGAAGAAAAAACACCCCCTTTTTAAAGAAATCTCCGGGTGAAAAGTTAAAGCACCCCCCTTTTTTTTAAATTTTTTTTAACAATTCTCGGGTCGGACTTTGTCGCCCGAAGAGTACCCCTTTACCGGACATTTTGGTAACACGCATGGGGTCCGTCAGCTCTCGGAGTGGGGGGGGGGGGGCATAAATCTGAGCAATGAAACACTTTTTCTTGATTAAACCAGGGAGATGGGAGGAATGCTGTCATGCTACACACAGGAAAGAAATGAGCAGACAATGTAATGGATACATCATTTTATGTTATCCCAAATGAATTGATGTCTTTTTACAGGATGCTCATTTTGAGTGGAAACATGTACATCTACAGTGTACAATACCGGATATGGCCACGGGACTAAACTGAAACGGCTCCACCCCTAAAGAGGCTTTCACATCGGGCCTTGCGTAGAGTTACGTAGAGTTGCGTAGAGTTGCGTACCGACTACGCCGATCGTACGCAACCCTACGCCGGCCTACGCAACTGTACGCGGAGGGACGCAAATGGGTACGCGAGATGAACGCAAAAAATTAAACTTCGCGTACCTTCGGCGTAGACACTTTACACAGAGAGTGCGCAATTTGTACGCAAGTCTACGCAACTAGCTGTACGCCAAGCCTATGCAAATGTACGCCAAGCCTACGCAATTGTACGCCAAGCCTACGCAACAATACGCTACCCTACGCCAGTCCGACGAAGCATTAAAAACGTATAAAGACGTCCTAGATCCAACCTGCGCGCAGCCTAGCCACAATGACTGCTTGACCCTGCTGGACTTTTCATTACTATTCCTGCAGTGCTACATTTTATTCGTCCCGCTGGACTCTATTGTCGCTGCTGAACTATACCTGCAGGATTTAATTATTTCTGCTTTAATTACTGCAAAAATTCCAGGAATGAAGGGCAAGGGTTGTGGTCGAGGCCACTTGTTTCCATCCCTCTGGAGTATCTGGGCACAAGAGAACTTCGTCAGATAATTCATCGATTATTGCCTGGCACACTTGTGGGATAAACACAGAAATAGTGTTATGGGCAACTCGGAATCCACATTGAAGTGTCTTGTAGCTGTTGCCGGTGGCCAGAAACCTCAAGGTGACAGCCATCTTTAAACCAGGTTCCAGAGACTTCCTGTAGTTAGTATCTCGTTTGGTAATCCTCGGTGCAATTCGTGTCAGAAGTTCATGGAAATCCTGTGGCCCCATCCGCATGAAATTGGTAAATGCAGAAACATCCTCAGCATGCAGTTCTTTCATCAGCTGTTCATATTGCCCTGCAGGGGCCTGCGCTGGATCCAAGGTTTTACACACACACTTCTTCTTCTTCTTCTTCTTCTTCTTCTAGCTTCTTTCCTTCTCTGTTCTTGTTCTTCTCCCAAGCGTTCATGTTTTGCCACTTGACTAATTAGTCTTTCCAGGGCATCTAGATGCTGGAGCATTGTACCTTTTTGCCGAGGGCCCAACCAACTCATGATCTTTTTCTGCCTGTGTTATTACAACAGTCAACTGTAATTCCAACAGCAGTGATGTGTTCTGGACAGCAGACAGCAGTGGATTGGGGGGGGGGGCAGAAAGCTACGCACAGGGTACGTAACTATACGCCATCGTACGCAAGCCCACGCATAACCTACGTAGGGACTACGCCAATAATCAATTTATTCATGAGTACGCAGCTTAACTTCGGCGTAGTCGGTACACAACACTACGCAACTCTACGCAGATCCGGTGTGAAAGGGGCTTTAGGACTCTTAGCTTTCAGAGTGTGTTTGTTTGCCTTAAAGCTGGTGGTGGGCGTGTCCACCAGGGCTATTACTATGGTCACGGATCAAGAACATATAGTTTTAGAAAATGTCATGTATTTGTAATATTAAATTATCCCCATAATAGTAAAAAAAAGTCTCTTAAAAATGTCTTTAGAAATTAAATATATCATCTTTCTATACTTCTTTGATCACATAATTATGTTACATTTGGGCCCTTAAAATTAAAAAACTGGTACCTGATACATATTTCTTTATCAAAGCCTTATGTCCACAATGTGTCATTGTGTTTTGATACCGAAATAGAGATGTCATGTGCTCTAATTACGCCAAGAAAAGTCTTCTTGACTCTATAGAGTAGCTGATCCTTTGGGCGCTTTTGGAGCAACTGCAGTGCCCTTGTGGTCTTCTCTAGGTCTTAACCTGTACCATATATCATTGTATTGTTTGTTTGTTTTTCAACCGAACGAACATTTTCAGCCACAGTCCTAATTCCGAAATGCATAAATCAATGGTGGGCCCCTAAAATATAAAGTTTCGACACTATGGGCACATTTGATTAAAAATAAAGAAATTCAGTCGATGCCCTCATTTTCAGCATCAAATTTTATTTAGGAAATCCTGTGAACACCATTTTCCTGTTGGAGTCGTATGTGTATCTAACTAGAGACCATGGACAGTATTATAAAATTAGTAAAAGCGTATAGGACTAATAATATTTTGAGTGCGCTTATACAGGTAAAGACGATATTTCGTATTAAAGTGACTCGGTAACATTGTTGAAGGTTGATTAAAAAACTGTGTGATCTTGGTATGAAATGTTACGTATTATCTTTCTTCTACTGTACTATTTGTAAAAAATCCTGAAAAAATTCTCAAACCACAAAGATATTAATGGTTTTCTAAGAAGTTGTAACTGGTCAACACCCTTTAACAGTGCCGATTAACAGTAAATTCTCCCAAACATTTTTGAATTTTCCCAACCGTTTTCCCATGAAAATAAGACAAAAAAACAGGCTTTTAAAAATCTTTCAACACTTAAATGTCTGGAATGGTAGAGCCAATTCATTGCTTTGTGACGATTCACATTCACCTAAAATGTAATTAAATTGTAATAATATAGTTAGGAGAATTAAGGTATCGATCGGATCAGTTTTTCCCAATTTGTATCGTTAACAATGATCCGTTTTCACTCAAACTTTCAGATTATCTTAATTTTACATCTAGCATTGAAGTCACTGCCTTAGCACCATTTGCTCTCATCTTTACATTGTTACTAAGTTCCTTTAAGCTCTATATAAATCCAGATTAATTATTTTCATTTACATATAGTTCATAGTAAACAACAAACAAAATCACCTCTTTTGAAAACACCGAACAAACATTTTTAGGCAAGATACCTGTTCTGATTTGCATATAATCAACGATGGACCCCCTAAAACATAAAAGTCGGGAAATTGGGGCGGGGTCCGCTCGCTATTCAACAGGACCGCTATTCATAACCGAGGAAGAGGGTCGCTATTCATAATACAAAATCGGGGTCGTTATTATAGGGGTCCCTATTCATAATACGAGAAGACGGTCACTATTCATAATACCACCCTCTTCTCGTATTATGAATAGCGACCCTCATATCGTATTATGAATAACATACAGTGTAAACTGTGCTTACGTGATATCAACAGAATACATATTTTCTACAATATTTATTTGTACATTATGAAGGATATTATGCGAAGGTTCTAGGATCGTAGCGACCGAGCAATAAGTTGCCGTTTGTATATAGATGAACTTGAAATAATAAGTGGCATTGAAAGTGAAAATGTAATACAATATACAACAATGGGCAAATAATTGTTTCCAGACCAATGATGTAAGTGAGAAGAACTTACATTTTATATTGAAACTGTTGCCGTTTGTATATACATGAACTTGAAATAATAAGTAGCCTTGAAAATGTCGCAATATATCATGTGTTAGTGAGCTTGAAGTTTAATGGTGTAGGTTTGTTTGAGACTATATAGCCTTTACACTGTTTCATAAGTGAGATATATCTCCAATCAAATCAAACTGAGTGATGTTATCGAAGAACTTAACAATATCAATCTGGCTTAAAGTGACTCGGTAACATTTATGAAGGTTGATTAAAAAACTGCCTAATTTTTGTATGAAATGTTACTTATTATATTCCTTCTACTATACTAACTCTCTATCATGCAACAAAAAACTGAAAAAATATGCTGTATATTCAGATAAATTGTATAAAAATATAGATTTGCACGCACCCCTATTCATTATGCAAATTAACTAGTGTCAACTGGTGCGACTGGAAATATGCCCACAGAACTTTTTATCAACTGGTGCAACTGGAAATATGTCATGCATAAACCAGTTATTAATGGCTGCAACTGGAAATATGCCAACAGTCAGTTATCAACTAGTGCAACTGGTAATATGCCAATAGACCAGTTATCAACTGGTGCAACTGGAAATATGCCCACAGACCAGTTATCAACTGGTGCAACTGGAAATATGCCCACAGACCAGTTGTCAACTGGTGCAACTGGAAATATGCCCGCAGACCAGTTATCAACTGGTGCAACTAGAAATATGCCCACAGACCAGTTATCAACTGGTGCAACTGGAAATATGCCCACAGACCAGTTATCAACTGGTGCAACTGGAAATATGCCCACAGACCAGTTATCAACTGGTGCAACTGGAAATATGCCCGCAGACCAGTTATCAACTGGTGCAACTGGAAATATGCCACACAGACCAGTTATCAACTGGTGCAACTGGTTATTAAGGACTGGCTCCAGTTAAAT